AAAATTTAGCTAGTTAAAGCTAGACTTTAATCCTTTTTTGCCGCCAAAAAGCCCGCGCTTTTCGCTATTAGTGGGCTATAACATATAGCCTAGTAGTAGCTCAACCAATCAGAACGCAGTATTGATAATACACAGCTAGCTGGATTTTACTAAAAAGTTATATTTACTGTTGAGGTACGTTGTTTTCTATCAACCAGGTACTTCCATATCCTTGGTACTCGCTACCTAGGCCTGGTTGTCAGAAAAAAAAAACTCAGTATAACTATTTTTGTCTTTTTCCCCCTCAGGCTTGATAGCAGACCAAACAGGAAGCTATGTTTATTCATTTTACATGACTGGTGCTGTTCTTCTGATTGCATTTCTTATCCCGATGGTTTTAATTCCTATAAGTCATACTAAGGCCAGAGTTCGTTATCAAGGCTACGGCAAGGAACAAAACACGGGCGCGGCCAAGGCATAATGAAAATGGTCTGAATCTGAACAATATCAATCAAACCAGTCCACGTACAGCTGGCTACTACAAAAGGTATCACCAGCGCTTTCGTTATCAGTAGTTACAATAGTCATCAGTTGTTACAAAAGTTAAGTCAAGATTAATCTACAAGCACGGACTAGGAGGGATTGTATCGGTATTAGCTTCTATTCTTAATATTCCTAGATAGGTTTCGAAAGACAGGTTATTATATTGCAAGCATGGGCGACCTGTGATTACCCAAAAGGAAGTATTTTGCTCTTTCCTTCCGGCAGACTAAATGCCGATTGTTATAATTTCATCGTCGGATCCTATTAAATAATGCTCTCAAAGACCAAATCTACAGAAGAATTCAAAGACTCACTGGAATAAAAGATTCAGATTCAAATTTTGGTCTTTCTAATATCTGAGTTAAAGGAGGGCTGGGAAAAGTAGTTCTTAGATTTGAATATATGATTCTTTAACCATAAAAGTTTAGTTATAATCTTATGTGGACAGAGCATCCTTCTAAAAATATACCCAAAAAAATGCCTTTGTGTGCTGTAAGCTAACACAAGGTATTTGGCCGAGCCAGTCAAGTCTGAGGCTTGACCTGCCACTTTTAAAGAGCTTAAGCAACGACGACGGTGAGGGCTCGCGCTGCCTCAAACTTTATCGCACTCAGTTCCATCTCCTTGCTACTTCACTTTTTCAGTGAAGTTTTCGTAGCCGTCACCGTTGTCTTTGCTTCGCTCTTTATTAAGGATGCCAAAGATCATAGAAATCGTTTAAATCATTTCTACTGAAGAACGCGATTCAAAACATAACCAACGCGCAAATAAATAAGTTCGGGCTACGTTAGTTCGTCAAATATTGGCAAATTTCTTGGAAGTTGAATTCTAAAGGATTGTGTCAAAGTTCGGGGAGGAAAGAGGAAAAGGAAACGGCTGTTGTTTTGTGTTCCCGTCGTCGACAAAACGTGAAATCAGGCACTTTCTCGTTGTAGTCGCGCAACGACGGCTAAGAAATGTACAAGAAAGCATGACGCACATGCCGAAGTTGTTGTTTTGCCAATCTAAACCTATAATTGCTTTTTTGCTGTTCTCGTTGCCGTTGCCGTCGCCGTCGTCGCTGCTTAAGCTCCCTATTTGTCAGAAATTACTCGCCCCATGTCAGGGAATGCAAGACAGTCTTGGATCCTAGATTCCACTCAGACGATTTCCGATTCCAGATTCCAGGGACTGGATTCCTGAATTCTGGATTCCAAACTTACACTGTAAGTAAAGTGGAGGATACTCATGTTGACACATCTGCTTTAATGAATAAACTAAGCAAGATGACAAGAAATGCAAAATAAGTTTGCAAATTTTGTAACATTGCATTGTAATAACTTCAATCATTTATATAGATCTATCTTCCTTTTCCCTTCCCCTTCTTAATTTCTTCTTAGTTATTAATTTCTTTATGTTTCCTCTGCTCACCTCGATTAGCCAAGCTCTTTACGAGCAGAGGATGTTTGTGTATTATATTTTTTTAAATTTAATTTAATTTAATTTGTAACTTATGAAGACCAATAAACTGCAAACTTCAAACTTCTCTGTATTCCGTATCCCAAGGCCTAAGATTCCGGATTCCAAAAGCAAAATGTTCATCGTTTCCGGACTTTTCGACACAAGCAAAACTACCCGGATTCCGGAATCTGGGTACTCGTACGTGGGGTTAAATTACCGATCAGACATACCTTGCGAATGGTATTAATAGTGATGCACTTCCGAAAGAAGAAGAAAACCGTTAACCCGAATTAAAAAGCGCGCACATCGTTACCGGATAAGCTTTGGACACTGATATTTGGGCACGTGGCATTATTATTGGCCAATAACTCTATAAAGTCTAGCCAACCAGAAAGGAATTTAAATTTCTTATTATGTTTGTTTTATCACCGTTACAATCCGGATATAACCTGAATGAAATCGCCTGATATTAATCCCCTAAAAACTTGCTAATGTGACGCAGAACGTTCGCAAAACGTTTTTTATTACTCGACACAAAGGACTCCTAAGTAGAAGAAGAGGTTTGCTTGCAATGAGGCCTTAAGTCGAGTCTCTGGCGGAATATATTCAGACCAAACGAAAATGCAGACAAACGCAGAGCAAGATCGTGATCGGCACGAGAGACTTGTTAAATTATGGAGGTGTTTCAGAAACAAGCATCATCAAGACAGTGCTTGGTCGTGGGTTGTGTGTATTTCAGCAGCGATTTGCAATGCTCTTAACCTTGGCTTTGTTCTTAGCTTCGGTGTTCTGTTCCCAGTATTGCTGGACTATTTCAATGAGACAAGGGAAAGAACCGGTGAGTAGAAAGAATCATTTTTTTCTTCTATTTGTTTGTTATACCTTGAACACTATCCGGGAAGAACTTGCCTTTTTGAAGGACTAACCTACTGCTTAAACCTGTGCATCGCAGATGCATATTTCTCGGAGTCTTTCTTTCTGTCCTTACATTTTTATTATTTACCCCAGTGAGTCTGTCGTAGTAATTATATTTGTCATCAACATTATCTAAAACACTAACACTAAGTCTATGTTCAATCATTTTTAGCTTCATTCCCTGTCTTACATTCAGATCTAAAGATAAACAATTAATGAGGTGAAACTAAGTTTCAATTCATTTTTTCCGCCCTGTGTTATGCAACTAGGGAATTTTAAGTACAACAACTACCGGCGTCTGCGGACCAAACCACAAACAAAACTGTTTTTAACATGCAGACTCCGATGCCCTTTAGTGATGGTTTTGTTCACTTCTCTACATTTCTTTGCAAAACAACGTTATCAATGATCAATCATCTCTGGTAAGGAAAATGAAAATACTTTCGTTCTTTTGTTTTCCAGTTTGTTTTTCCACGCACGTGACTTGCATCACCCAGAGCTACAAAACGTAGCTTGGTAATTCAACTTTTTCAAAGATGTTTTCACAGACAAGCTTTCATTCTTTTTCAATGTACGTGTGTCGTTTCAAAAAAGGTCTCAACCTCCTTTTGCTACGATTAAGCGGTGAATTTTTTTTTGTACGTGGATTTTTCACGCACGTGATCTGAATGATTCCAGAGCTACAAAATCAACAATTTCAAAAATGTTTTCAAAGACGAGCTTTAATTCTTTTTCAGTGTGTCGTTTTAGGTAGGTCTCAGCCTCCTTTTGCTACGATTTAGTGGTGATTTTTAAATCTTGTGGGCTTCTTCTTTCTGTATTACACGTTTAAAACATTTTAACAGTCTATCTGAAAAACAATGTTGTCTTGTGATTAGACTCAGGGTCATAAGGTATTTTTGAGAATGTAAATCAGCAGATGTCGAATTTCTATTATTGTCCGCTCTTCTGAAAGTTGACCCTAAATCATTGCAATACACACGTGTAGAACATAAGACAGAATAAGACATCACTGTTAGTCACTGTTTAAGCTAATTTAAATGAAAATAAATAATAATTATAAAAGACTATGACGATGGTTAAGATCTTGATTAAAAGCTTATCGTAATACAACCTATGTAAATGCCATATGATTCTAAAAGCTTACTTCCATAAATAGCTTCAATATCATTTACAAATTACAAATTATGACATATTACGTAATATTGAACATGTAGCATTGTTGTGTCTCACTATGCATTCTTGATTATTTCTTCTTTGGCCGCTTTGTTTAATTTATCCGTCGTCATGCATGCAGTTACGTTCTTCGTGTTAACCAAATACCGCAACTTGATATTTCAATAGTATAAGCCCCGAGGCTTTAAAGGACATTCATCGTGCACGTGTGTGAGGGTACCATATCGGAAAAATTGTATTCAGAGTTAAATTAAATGTGGAAGGTTCACAGTAGGCTAGCCGAAAGGAGTCCGCTTTCGATATATTAAACGTTTTTTGTGTTCACATTGGAATATCGGGAAAAATTTTCAATTTTGAATGTTAAGACAAAATTAAAAGTCAGACATCCCTGTTAAGTCACAGTCTAAGCTAATTATAATGGAAATAAATAATAATTATTAAAAAATAATAATAAAGACAATGATGATGGTTAAGATCTTGATTAAAAGCTTATGCTATAGTAATACTACCTATGTAAAAGTCTTATCATGGGATGCTAAAAGCTTACTTCCATAAATATTTTCTATATCATTTACAAATTACATGTATGACACATTACGTAATATTGAACATGTAGCAATGTTGTCTTTCGCTATGCATTCCTGATTATTTCTTCTTGGACCGCTTTGTTTCATCTATCTGTCGTCATGCATGCAGATTCCTCGTGTTAACCAATTAGATTACCGCAGCTTGATATTTCAATAGCATAAGGGACGGACCATTAGAAAAGTTATGGGGGGAGTGGGGAATTTTTGAGCCGCAGGAATTTTTTTCCGTTATCAAATTTCTTGTATGGATGTTTTTTTTAGGCCGTAGCATGAATATTTTTTAGGGTTAATTGGCGTGCATGAATTTTTTTTTTCATTTAATTTTCCCTTGCGCGAATATTTTTTTTTTTTACTTCGCCCCCCCCCAACAGTTTTCTAATGGTCCGTCCCTAAGCCCCGAGGCTATAAAGGACCGTGCACGTGTTTGAGGGTACCATATCGGAACTGTTCAAGACAAAGAATCAAAGATCTGTGTTTACTTTGGTACGACATCATTTTATCTAAATGATTCAAAACTGTAATCAGAGTCAAATTAAACGTAAAAAGTTCACAGTTAAGCTAGCCGAAAGTAGTCCGCTTTCGATATATTAAAAGTTTTTTGTGTTCACAATGCAATCGGGAAGAAATTTTCAATTTTGAATGTTATTAGCCTTGGAGTCACATGCTTTGATATATCGGATGTGTACTGTTACCCGCAAGACTTGTATATAGAGGTCCATAGAAGTGCATGTAGGTAGTAAGCTCTTATGGTAATCATTAGAATGCGCAAGAGAAATAGATTCTTAATTTTTAAGAATAACCATTTTGGAAGTAACCAGAAACCGTGACTGTTCAGCTCATAGAATGATTATGCTACTTTCAGTAATATATAGATTTAGCGAGGGCTAAAAGCGAAGCTCTCGATAATATTCACAGTTTGTTCAAACAAAATATAAAATCGTGTAATGCTAAGCGGCGAAGGCATGCAAGGCCGTAAAAAGGTGAAAACAACAATAGGCCGGTCTAATTAGCAAAAGCAACTTTGCACGTGCAACACACTTTTTTTGTACATTTCTTTGCCGTTGTTTTGCGCGACTATTAAAACGTGAAACTTCCAGAAACTTCTTAGGGGCTATTTACATGGAGGGAGGAAGATCCTAGTACCAGGAAGATCCTACAAGGTGGAATAACTTTACGTTGGGTTTACATGCAGAAATTTCGGCCCGCCTTGTCCAAGTAGGGAAGGTTAGAAGAGAAGAAGGAATTAAAAATGGCGGATCACAAAATCAAAAATGCAATTTGGGTCCTTCTGCTCTCTTTACTGGCGTAAATCACTACCTTTCAGCTGAATTAACACAATAATCTGCTCGTGGATTACTCTAAACGAAATGGTCGGCCTTTATTGCCGTAATTAGCCAATGAACGACCCGCCGACCTTTTTGTCGCGTTTGTCCCTAGTACTAGGATCTTCCTAGCGAAAGCAGTGTACATGGTGCTAGGATCTTCCAACCTGTCAGCTAGGGAGAACCTAGTACTAGGAAGACCCTAGCGCTAGGGATAAGTACAACCCGGCTTTGCATGTAAACTGAATGCAGAAAACATATGGCGCTAGGACTGATCCGCCTTCTAGGATCTTCCTGGTACTAGGATCCTCCTCCCTCCATGTGAACAGCCCTTTAGTTACACGTTTTATGGAGGAAATGTCGTACGTGTTCCCGTTCACTACCGCTCATTTTCACCTTGCATTGGTGGCCGCTAGCATTTCTCATTTTTTTACCGCCGCTACAAACTTTTCCTGTTGTTCTTCCAACGAAAAAATGTCTCCTTTGTTTTTTATCTCTCGCTTTAAATCCCTGCCGCTCTTTTTCTCGTTGAGCTTCGCTGGCCTACCACCCACTTTCTCTTTTTCTCTGTCTTTCTCTTGCTCTATATTCCAAATTAGCGGACTTGACAATTTATCTAAGCTTAATACTTTAGACAACACGGATACATAAACAATTTCCCGTTTTAGTCTTGATTGACTCTTTTGTTGTCTCTGCTTTACGAGATGCCAGTGGCTATGCGATTTCCCGCCAAAATAACCTCGAGTTGCATTTGGGTTACCATACCTGTTGATTGAGTCATGATTTTATATTGGTATGCCTGTGGTGCGGACGGACGGTCTCTCGGGTGGGCGGTCGGTCGGAGTACGGTCACGTGATTACCAAATTTCTCGGATGGGTAGATTACTTCATTTTCTTAACCATGGTGCTCCGCTGGCGCGCTTCGCGCGCGAGAGCTCCGCTAAAAGTGTATGAATCATATATCTGACTTAAAAATTGGTCGTTGCAATTCTGCATAAAACCGTCACTTACGTCGTCTTACCGTCACTTCTCCTTGGTGCAAACATTTGAAAATCAGCATCTATAAGGAAAATCTTGAACAAATTCTTGAGAGTTGCAAGTCAGATTGATATTGATCTTCCCTCTTGCTCTTTGTCTTTTTTCAACACGGTAAACTGTTTCGTTCTAAAAAGGCGCTTTAGTCAAAAGATATGCGCCCATTCTAAAAAACCTCAGAAAAGCCCGAGGATACCTGAAGTCTATGATTCAATCAACCTTCCACGTCCACTCGTTGTCCATTGAACGATAACTCCACTGAAGGGTCGATAAGAGGGAGTGGGAGGATGCGAACGGTAGTAAAAACCGAATTAACTGTTTAAGAAAGCGGGCTTCAAGGAATCAAACAACAACAACAATACACTCCATTGAAAAAAAGTAGACTATGAGATACAGCACGCCATCTTAGTCGACATACTTAATTACGTCACTTTTTGCTAGATATTCATCAGTATTATAACAAGCAATAAAGTTAATTATTACAATAGTTCATCATTATCAGTTCTTCCTAATCTTTACATATCTTTTAGTTTGTATCCGACTCGTGACTCTTGTTAGAAATGAATACGTGCTGATGTTCATAATGATGATATTAAACCGAAATAAAAATTCCTTTTCAGCTCTTGTTGGCTCACTAGCTTTGGGCATGCCGTTGTTTGCTAGTCCGCTGCCTGGCTATCTTTCTGATCGCTTTGGCTGTCGCATAACAAACTTCATCGGAGGCGCCTTGTGCGTGACTGGCTTGGCGGTGACGTCATTTTCCCACAATCTCAATCTTATGTATTTCACCCACAGCCTGGTATTTGGTTTGGGGGTATGTTTTATCTACAACTGCAGCTATCTTGTTACTGCACAGTACTTTAAAGAAAAATTGTCCTTGGCAACGGGCATTGTAGCTTTGGGAGCAAGTGTGGGTGTCCTATTTACAGGTCCACTGCTTCAAGTTCTTTTGGATTCGTTTGGATGGAGAGGCACGTACAGAGTAGCTGCCGCGTATTTCACAATTGTCTGTATTCTGAGCTTAACATACAACCCAAATGTACAAAAATCAACGGAGATTGAATTCATCAATAACAGTGAGGATACTGAGAGAGGTGAAAGAAGTGGTATTTCTCTTTACTGTAGCGTGTGGACGTTTCCTACGTTTGCTGCATCCGTCATGTCTTTTGTGTTTGGGAGTTTTGGAATGTACATTCCGTACATCTATCTGGTTAGTTTCCGCTTTGCTTTTCCTGCATGTTTTTCCAGTAAAAGTAAAAACAGGGGCAGTTAAGCTATTGTGTAACTTCACCATTAGACCAGCCCTATTAATACGACCCCCTTTAGTTAATGCGGAGTCTTCGTTAAACGTGACCACCTCATTAGTGTGACCACCCGATGCGACCACCCTGTTATAACGGCCACATTAAAAGTCCATTATTTAAGTACTATATTAAAAACAAATAATATTTAGTTTTAGACAGGGCCAAAATCGAACGGCTCTGGTAGGATCTTATAAGAAATATCTTTCAGGAGTACAATTCTACTTTCGGCAATTAAGTAAAGGAAAGGGAATTCCTCCTGAAATACTGCAGGGCCTGAGCCTGATATCAGTTCAAAAACAATGACTGGTCAGCGGAGAATTAAAAAAACGTCACATCAATGAATTGTACACCATGATAAAGTCATGTGATATTGGCCAGCGGATACTCTATTTTGACACCTGTCAATTGACCACAACATGGACGTCCAATATCAAGTTAGACACAGATTGTGTACCGTATTTCCGCGAATAAGCACCCGGGCGCTTATTTCAGATGTCAGCTAAAAAAATGGGCGCTTGATCGAATGAGGACGCTTAATTGACAGGGGGAGAACGCTTAAGTTAATTATTCCTTTAAAAGAACTAGAGAATGGTCTACTCGTTCCTGGAAAGGAAGTTTTCGGCATATACCAAGAGCGCAGGCAATAGGACAAAAATTAAAAGAAGAGATAACCCACATAGAGGAACACTGCAAGCGAGCACGTGGATATAAAACTAAATGGAAGTGACTTAACGGATAAGAAACTATTCTCCCATACTGATTCCGCTGTAATTGACGCCTAAAAAGTGAAAAATTAAGTGGCCATAAAGCTGGTTTTCCATGTATCCCTAATATTCAAGAAAGTAAGGGGGAGTGGAGGGGCGCTCATTCGAAGGGGGTGCTTCAGGTTTGATATAATGGTTTTAAGGGTGGGCGCTTATTTGGGGGAGGGCGCTAATAAGAGCATTAGTGCTTATTCAAGGAAATGAGATATGCCTTCAACTCCAAACTAGTACGTTTGTAATTTCACATCCTCTAACGTAAAAGGGGAGACATACAGACGGACGATTTTGTCACAACAAAATTCTTGCACGCATAGTGACTTGTTTTCTTGTATTTTGCTATCTTAACATTCGTTGTATTGGCAAAAGTGACACTTAAATGTGTAGGAGTTCCACAAGAGATGAACTAAGGCTTTCGTATCAAAACTCAATGACAAATGTTTTTGTTGGTTTCTGGCTGTCATGTTGGTGCCCATCCGAATGGGCACCAACATGGCGTCTCTATACAAAGCTCTATAGATATGGGTCTCCTTGGGGCCAATAAAACTACACTAACTGTGTCGATTGTGTTTATAGGTTGAGTATTCCGAGGATAACGGAATAACCGCCCAGGATGCTTCACTACTGTTCATTTATATTGGTCTTTCTTCGTCGCTTGGCCGGATTATAACGGGAAAGGTGTGCAATAACAAGAATGTAAATCCAGTTTTTATGCACCAAGCATCCATGCTCTTAGCTTCTATCTCCGCCTTTTTGCTTCAGTTTGCCACCAAATACGGGTACTTAATTATCTTCAGTGCTGTATATGGCTTCAGTGATGGAGTTTTCTTAGCAACTCAGTGTTTTATCTTGCTGAGCTGTGTGGATGCTAAAAGAACAACAGCGTCCTTCTGTATCAATAACGTTCTTTATTCATTTACAGCAGCCGCCGGTGGACCCATTGCTGGTGAGTTAATTTGCAATTCTTTTCTTACCAGTAAACTCTTTCATAAGTAGTTGGGATATGATCGTCTTTGAAGTGTTGTCCTCAGTAGGATAGTGGTTGATAATGACGGACGTTTGTGCGTTAGTCATCTTCAGAGTCAAAAGTGAGGTTGTATCATTTAACCTCGGACGTACAAGGTAGGGGGGGGGGGTTGGGATGCCACCCCTTAAAGTTTTTCTGAGTTTTCTCCTGGAGGATAAAACATCAGCACCTGATGTTTTCAGTAGCTGTTCGTTCATCCCTCGCGCGCATTTTGAGTCAAGTTCAGTAATGGTCAGTTTCTATGGTTACGAGATATGACGTCATAAGTAGGAGGTGGTCAAGTTATTTTTGAGTGCAAGTACATGTCTTTCCAACTTTTTCCAACATAAAAGTAAATCTTGTGGCTAAAATCAAGCAAAGTGCTTATTATTTTCATGTCAAGCACAAAAAAACCATTTCTCGCGGTTTTAACCTAGTTTCTAACTCTTGGTAAAACCGAGATGGCGGCTAAGATTGCGACCATTGTTGGTGACGTCACAGGCCCCCAGCAGCGCTACCAACCATAAAATATACCTCATCTTGTAGAGAAGATCAAAGTCTTTCCACTGAAGGTAAAATCGTTTCCAAATACTGCAACAAAGCAAAAACTCTAAAGGGAGGGGAGGTGGGGGTCTATCCACCCCCCAATGTACCACGGAGGGGGTATGATTTTGCGTGTACTTCCGAGGGCTAAGTTGATGGTGGTGATGCTCGATTTACCATGTCATGATATGTACTATTGTGTCGTTCTATGGTGTGAAGTTTATTATGTTATTGTGTAAGGGTTAGGGATCATCACTGTTGTATTCCTTGTGAAGTACCTCGAGAATTCCTATTCACGGTATGACTCTCTCGTTACTGACCAGTGTGATTAGTCAATGAAGGCCGTGTGTTACTGGTTGTCTGATCTGTCAGTTGTAAAGCCACGATGCTATATTGGTTACGAAGAGTGTAAACTGTTTTTTCGATATCCTAGCTTTCTATCAGGATGTCATACTTTGTTGTGAAAACATTCGGAAATGGGCTGATTGCGGTACAAATTGGTACACCCATATCCTTAATAAGTTAATGAGCTTTAATGGGCTTCTATTGTAATCCCAACGAAAAGTGGCAAAACGAAAGGAAAAATATATTTAGGGTTTTAAAAGAAACCTAACATAGTCATTATCTGTTTTTTGTCTTAGGCTTGATAGTGGACCAGACTGGAAGCTATGTTTATTCATTTTACATGACTGGTGCTGTTCTTATGGTTGCATTTCTTATTCCAATGGTTTTGATTCCTATCAATCACAGAAAGGCCAGAGTTCGTCCTCTTGAAGGCCACAGTAAAGACGATATGGTTACGGCAAAATCAAAAGGGCCTGAAACTGGCCAAGATCAAACCAGTCTTGGAGAAACGCCAACCTAAAGGCATTAAGACTGCTACTTCATATGTGGAGCTTAGACTTACTTTGATGAAACATACTGATTTTCACATACTGAATGTATGAATGTACACTACAGTATTATAAAAGGTCTTTTGTGCGCACACGTACCATGAGGTCCACACAGCTGACGCCTAACCCGGTTTTTGAAACATGAAGTATCCTAGAGTACTGTGTCAACACTGCAGGATCCCGCACTCCCCCAAGCAGAATGTCACCGATACCCCTTTGTACATATGGGTAAAAAGAGACAAAGTAATTAACAAGAAGTTTCTCGAAACCAGGCCTAGGGTTTAAACTCGAACCTACAGACAGTAAAGGAAGTCTTTCGCTCAAATGAACTTCAGTTGTTTTAAAAATTACATCAAGCGATAAAATTCTCCTATCAGTTACAATAAAACGAAAAACGTTGTTTTAAATACTTTGAAATCTTTCATCACCCTCAAAAGAACAAAGCTAGGATTTTTTTTGTATTTTTAAAAGTCCTCTTTCTGAAAATTTAGCTAAACTCCGTGTTTAGAACCATTTTGTGTTATGAAGAAAATAATCATGCATCATCCACTCGCTTGGGAATGAAATGTTGCTCGTATACACATACTCAGTAAAGTTAAGCAATCTGTTTCGTTCGCTATCTCGGGTTGTTCAGGTATATTCACCCATAACGAGGTGATGGCAATATACAATCATTGAGTCATTTATTCTGACATCATTGATTGTATATTGACAATACGAAATCTTTGGTATCAAGCAAGACGACAGCGCCGCAGCATAGCTGTTTTGGTGTAACTGTGCCGAATTCGCTAAAAATCCTTGGGTCTGTGGGATTTACTATCGGGGGCCGCCCCTCCCCCTAGAACCGCCTCTGATCTGGGGGTCTGTTATCCACCTTGGCCTTCATCTTTTCTTGATAAAACCCTCAATCTGGACCCCGGAATGAATCCCGGACCCCCCGGCTCCCGGATAATTGCCGAAGTTTGCAATTTCTTGTAGATTCGACTTTCTGTCAATGAAATTTCAAATATTTTGCGTTGTTTGAGTTATTTAACTTTTAACATCGAGCGTTTCCTCAGAAACCTCGGTATGCCATTGTAATATATGCAATAATGTGATTGGTGGTAAGTAAACCAATCAAGTACAACTGCTACATAACATCCTCAGTTTTAACATGAAAATTAGCCGTAAGAAGAATGTTGGTGAAATTTTCCTTATATCTTGATTCTCCTTTGCGAAAAGACGCATTTACGTGTACCATTCAACCACATTCCTCGAACATAACAAATAAACAATCTTTCATTCCAAGATATTTCAGCGATGTATCTAAAAGAACTGCAAAAGCTATAGGCTCGATTTCCGCCGTCTCCCGGGTCCGATCTATGAGTGCGGGCTCATTTTCCCGAACAGCGGCTGGTAATCGAGCCTACAAAAGCTATCGAGTTGCATAATTTCGAAAAGAGGAACGGCAGTGGAAAAATATAAAATAAAACAAACGCATCTGGCTCATGTTCAAGATATTTTATAGCGTCTAAACTTATCTGTTTACACAGATTTTCTTTCATTTCAGCCGCGTTTTTATTCAGAGGAAGTTGATTTACGTGACGTAGCGATCGGAGCAGCAAGTGGCTGTTGTCGTTCTTGGGGGGTAGGGGGGTGCTGCCATAAATGGGCTATATAGGTATGGGCTGTGAAGGGTTTTCAAGCAGTTTACTCTGGGATAGGGTAGATAAATCAAAGAGTTTGGGTCTAGAATAGGGAATCATTTTCCAAGAAAATGATCAATTGATTGAAGATTTTAGCCAGACTAGGGAAACGGGGAATTGCCTCAGTTGTCGCTCTACGCACTCGCTTTCACGCGTGAGCGTGTCGTCGATTTTCGAAAAGAAAAAGAAAATAACTTCTGTGTAGAGGCTAACATTTTCTGATATGCATACTGATGCATTAGTGTATTAAATCGAACGGAAGACGTTTTATTCGAGGGAATACGGTAGCTATGAATCGCAATTTATTTATCATTTAAGTGATTAATACTGCCGTTTTAGTTTTTACAAGCCACATTAAATTCGAAAAAACACCACTGAAAACTACAGAAAATCTCTTACAGACCTTACAGAAAACTAGAAATCGCACATTGTTGCAATTTTTGATTGACACTTCTAATGGACAAATTTGTCAGATACTCGATACCTCCGTTTCAGACAGCGAGTGTCACGCACTTTAGTCTCACAAGCCTCTCACGGTGCGTATTATATACCGAAATGTCGAAGTATCTATGGTTTAGTTTGGTAATCTTCGCTTGTTCCTTGGGACAAAGCTCATCAACCTGGTGGAGTCCTTTTCAGTGGCGAGAGTATTGGCAAGACTGGTTCAGTGAACCAGAGAAAGGACAAACACAGCCTCAAAATGGTAAACCAGAAATTTTGCCCAATGGCAAAGGGTAAGTTAACAACAGCAATCGCATGCCTTTTTATCTCTGCTTGGTTTTGACCAAGTTAGAGACTACATCTCCAGGGAAGGAATTTAATCATTATAAAAGTGAATACTTTATTTATTTACTTGCAATAGTAAAAGAACTAAGACAACTGTCTGTTAGGGAACGATGTATCTGAATTACATATCAAAGAACGAACCGAGGCTCGCATATTTTCTCTTAATTATACAACGAATATTAACCCAAAATAGGGCAGACATTTGTTACAGGAAGAAAGTAAGGTCTTTTCTATGGACTAATATAGAATTCGTAAGGTAAAGGCCTCCCCTATTATGCAAAATAACATGGTTAAAAACGTTGGCTGGTCAGCTGCGGTTTTGTGGCCATAACATTATCATTGCCTGCTGGATTACCCCTTTCGGATGTCTTGCCTTCTTTCATGCAGAGATGCTTTTTTCTCTTTCTTTTCTATTGTGCAAGATAACTTTTTTGTCCTTTTTTTCCAAATTGACGACATTTCGATTATTTATGGAATTTTGAGACAAGCAAACTTCCGGAAGTTGGTTTAACCTTTACTACGCCCTTTTTGTAGCTTTATACATCCGGTGTTTGGTAACGACATGAATCGACATACCAACTTGTCTCTGTGGAAAGGGGGGGTGGTGGGGGATGCTTTTAAAAATATGAACGCAGAGCTTTGATTTTATAAATTTGTGCCACAAGCCAGGGGTCAGTGACAAAACTTAACCGTTAACGTCCAGGCGTATTGTAAAGGTGGAATGGACAGGACTGGACAGAACTGGACTGTGTAAACATGGCCTGGACTGGATTTGTAAAACATGAGTGGAGAGATTGACTGGGCTGAACGGCAAATGTAGGACGTTACTATTTTCGCAGGAACGGGAGGGGTCCATACCTGGATAAAATCCTTGAGAAATCAAGTTTCCAAAATGCTACATGTAAGGCGTGCCGTGCATGTACCTATTTGCATGTAAACTGTAAATCAGTTTACGCGCGCTTGTAAATCTGGCCACAGTTGTTCAAGGCTTTGACGCTGAGAGCGGTTTGTCGCTCATTCGAGTGCGGTGCCTATTAACAATAAAAAAAATAAGTGCGCTTATTGAAGGTAATGAAAGGATAAAGAATGTTTTTATTTTATTAGCGATTCGTAGATACGCCAACTGCAAACTTGCACGCTCGTAACAGCGCGCACACTCAGTCGTTTCCAGTTTCTTCTAGTGCCCGACGACCTATCAATGTACAACATTAATGCCTTGCAGCCAGAGATAGACAAAACTACCTCTTCTTTTTCTCCTTGTAGCCCGAACGTTTGCGAGCATCACATTCTTAAAGGAGTTTTTCGAAAATGTCAGAAAGTGCCTGGGAAACGTCGACTGCAATGCAGGTTAGTGACGTCAACTCGCAGATATAAAGTTGTGTACATGAAATGCACAGCATGTTTCATTAAAAAATAATAAATAAATAAATAAATAAAACTATTAATAACCAAAGGTTACGGAGGGGGGCGACAACGATCGAACTTCAAAACGCTTTTGCTCCAGCGACCAGCGCTAGGCTTTGCGTAAGCTTCAAGTGACAGATGGTCAAAACGGGCGTGATCAGATTACGAGTGATAGAAGACCCAAATGCGCGTGATCAAATTGCGTTCTGTGCATTCCATTCATTCTTAGTTGAAGTCCAAACAAATGCTGGTTACGTACATACGACGCATGCGTAATAACAACCTGGGGATTAGGATTGCGGGCTCCTATTGTCCCGCGCAATTACAACAAATTTGCTAGAGAATTTACAATTCATACATTTTTTACCCATCAATTTATGTGTTTTAAGCCATAATCATTTTCTACCGACCGAATACATGTTCACCAGTGGAAAATGTAATAAACAATTTAAATATTCTCTCATGATCGCATAGGACAGAGCGGCGCTATTTAACAGAGTATCGGTGCTGTCCCGGATACGCTCAAGAAAACGGAAGTCCCGGATGTCCGAAAGGTATACTTAACTGATATGGCACTGAAGAATTGAAAGTAGTGTACCTTTCTTGTTTGACTAAACTTTTGCTGTATGACTTTGTTCTGGCTTTTTTCGCCTTTTTAATCTCATTGAGAAGAATGGAAATTTCGTATCTGACTTACATTTTTGCCATAAATATCAGTTTATATTACACGAAACTTGCTCACATTTGTCGCATAAAGCGTAAATAAAATTTGCTCGGAACAAATATGGTTTATAAGTGCAAGCTATGAGGGAATGGGGTAAATTACAGACCTTGATACAACGAATCTTTTTACAGCGAGGTCCTCGGTATAACGAACGATATTCTTCTGCCTATGCATAGCACATTATTCTTGAAAATTTAAGAACCCCGATAAAACGAAACCCTTTTTAGCGCCAATCCCTTGGGCCTTCGTTTTATCGGGGTTCCACTTTTGTTTGCCTTTTTTGCACCATATTGGTTCTGAGCAAATTTGATGGATGAAATCCTATTTTCGGTACAGTGACAGGTGAACTGACTGTAGTTTGTCAGTTTTGTGCTCGGGCAGTCGTTCTAGAGCTAAATTTGGTCCTTGGTAGAATAAAGTTCAGAAATAACTCACACTCTGATTGATTAAAAAAGCATGCTTAATGACACTATATAACACGAAGCCAAAATTTTGGTTTGAAAATTAGAAAGTAATTCGCGCGAGGGGAATTTAATGGATTCTTTATCATAAAACAACAAAGAAGCCTTGACTGTTCTCTGCAGTTCTGTTGTAAAGTTCTTAGGAAACGGCTAGAGCGCTCAAGAAGTAGAAACACTTGACTACGTCTTGCGTTTCTCCCTACACTTCTTTCGTGCTCTAGTCGCTTCCTGTGTGCTTTACAACAAAACAAAGCACAGTCAAGGCTTCTTAATTATTTAAGCCCTACACCCCCTTGTCACCATGCGACAAAACTTTATTTCCCTCACCCCGGTGCCTTTCTTCACCTCTTTTCCAATGTTATCGTTAATACCAGGGATTGTAAGATTGATCGTTTTTCGGAGTAAGAATACCCAATAGGTTTGTTACAAATCTCTGGTGCCCTAATTTTTTTCGCCAGTTAAACGTTAAATACAGCAGAATATTTTATTTCAAGCAGATTTCTAGAAATGAACGCCAAAATAATTGACTTCTAGTAGAGTTTTTTCCAGCCGAGGCGGGTCAATCGAACATGCCTTTAATCATGGGAAATAAGGAATTGATCAACCATGATCATTCCAGCTTCTTCCTCTTGATGTTTGAAATGTTGAAATGACTTACTATCACAAAATTTACTTAATTCCTTTCATAGACGAATAATGTGAATGAGACATGTTTGTTGTATTCTAATCACGTCCTGTGTTTGTTTTAGAGCTTCATACGTCAAATAAGAGCTTAATCGAAGTCGCGGAGTCTCTTAGTTTGCGACAGTTTGTTCGACTGATGAACTTGTCTGGCTTTTCTTCGAAATTGGAGTCAGTGACGCGTTGCACCTTCTTTGTTCCTTCGGATCAAGCTTTCGCCGCTCTGCCACCGGAGAAGTTAACAGAACTAGAGAGTGATTTGGAACTACTTCGTTCCACGCTAATGCTGCATGTGGCGCACGGAAAGATTGTAACTGAAGCAATGAAAGACAACAGTAAAATAACTACACTTGACGAGGCTGAGAAACTGCGTATCAATGTAGTAGATGATGGCGAGGTATGGGTTCAGTGTTGATTTTTTTCTTAAAAATAGTGAAATGAAAACCTTGATCTTTGTAAAGGTTAACGTAAGGGGAACACGCAACTGCGATACTCACGCTGACGTCACTTATTGATATATTTATGTGCCAATCAGATGGGCATTGGTTCTTGAAACAAAAGATGCTTTTGTTTCACTCGTTACAAATTTGAATATGATTAAGTTTATCAGCGAATCTAATTGTCTGTTGCAACAACAACAACAACAACAACAGCAATGCAAACTTTCAATCATGCAAAATAGAAAGCATGCTTTTTTCCTTCTGCCTTTGTTCAGCTCCCTTGTCAGCTAGTTTGCTCTGTCGCTTCTTACCAAGCCTAGCCTGTTTCAGGTTCTCAGATGGTAGCTAGGGACGTTGCGAAAGCAAGGTCAAGCGAACCCTCAGCTCTCCACTGAACCCCGCGCGTTTATTGCATCAGTTTTCCACGAACCCTGCGCCACGTACTATCTCGGAGCCTGGAACAGGCTATTCGACAGACTGAATAGGGACTGCTTGCAGTCCACGGAACCCCCAGCTCTGAAGGCAAGTGCTCTACCAACCTACCCTGCCGCGGTTATTGATTTTTAGCTATTTATGTTTCATTGGCAGACAGTTGTTGTCCAAGGGGGACAAATCCTTCTACCGAATCAGGGAGCAGCCAATGGCATTATCCACGTCATTGACAGAGTCCTAAAGCCAACCGCTGGTGATGTTCAAACCCTTTTGAAAAACGACCCAAATTACAGCATTTTCTCGCAGATGATAGAGAACACTGCAATGAACTTTACTAACATCACATTGTTTGTACCGAGTGATGAGGCTTTTGAAGTGATGGACCGCGAGAGACTGGAAAGGCTTATTTCCAACGAAGACTGCGTTGAAGTAAGTCTTTTAATGATTATCGATAAACCTATCGGTCATCTACCTTTTATTCCATGACGTTACTGAAAGTCCCGACATTCACTCTTGTTTTACCCTCGCTAGCTAGATCTAGCTACAATAGCGACTAGACACACACTAAATAATAATAATAGTAGTAGTAATAATAAAGATTATACATATTGATAATAAATAATTATGATCGGTTACTGTGATGGTGATAATAGGGAACTTAAGATAGAGACGTTTTCGGGGCAACGGCAACTTCAATCGGACGTGACATCATCATTTGTTGGATATTGCACATGCTCGTGCTCACCACCTTGCCGTCAAGATCCAACTTGGCAAACAGCCAACCGTAAGTGAGCTTGACATGGGACAAAATTTTCCCACGAGCCAAATAAAAGTATCCAGACAAAAAATATGAACTCCGATATTTGAATTGTGTGTTTTTAGTTCGCTCTTTTCGTTAGAATATCGTATAAATGAAACGCATTGAAAATTATATAGAATAGTAGGTAATACCATGTACTAACTCGGCGTGGGAATACTGAAATAAAGTTGTCGCCGTAGTTGTTGTTGTTGCTGCATGCAAGTATTAATATTTCCCGGGAATCATTTCAATACCAAACTAAGAATACGGTTCCTTGGTAGCATTTTAATGTTCCTGTAATTTGCAAGGCTTCGGCAAGCCTGTGGAGATCATTTTTTTTGAACACGAAATTCTTCCTTGAACTCAGCTGCATCTCGCATGTTTTTTAGCGTGAACGGATCGTAACTGTCCAGAGGAAAATCGGGATTTTTGGACTCATAATTTTCCCACAAAACGAGAACCTCTTCATCCGATACATGTTGTCTGCATAGCAAATATTTATTCTCTTAATTCTTTATGTGAAGCCATATTCTCCTCTTCGGTATTCTTCTAATTAAAGGCGCCGTCCTTCTGAGTTCACTGCGATCTTAATGTTCTATTTTTGACGGGGAGCGACGGCTGCCTTAGTTCCAGGCTTTCTCTGCCAGTCCGGTCGCCGTCGCCCCGTCTCCATCTTAAGTTCCCTAATGATGATGATGACGACGACGACGACGATGATGATAATGATGATGATGATGATGATGATAAAAAGGAAGTATCGCTGCACTTTGCACAGGTTGCCAAATAAGGTCTACAAATTTGATTTTGAAATAGAACTGGAAAAATTATCCTTTCTACGGACACCTGGGAGACCATAATACAGCTAGAGCAAAGAGTCAGTCTCTTTTGTAGAGTTATTGTACCAAGAGAACATTTTCTTGATTGCATTTATATAGAGATTCGTCAAGTACCACATGCTGCCGAAACCACTCTACACATCTGCAATGGACAATGGCCGTTTCGTAACAGTTGAGGGACATTTTGTTGATATTAAAACAGGTGGGGAAGAAGAGGTCACGGTAAATGACGGCACCGTGACAGACGCCGACATAAGTGGAACTAATGGTGTACTTCATGTCATCGACAAAGTTCTGATGCCCGTTTCAGGTACCTTGGCGACACAAAATATATACAGCTATTTCGAGAAAGTAGTCGGAAAAAGTGCACGCGACAATCCCGAAAGGTATTTTGGGTGGTTTTGAGTTCACTGTTCTTCAAAGAAATTTGAAACAATGGCGTAAGAGGCCATGGATGTATATTTGCAAATGCTGAATGAAAGTAACAATTAAGAGTAGGTTCGACAGCTACAGTGTCAAGAACAGTGTGTTGATCATATCCCATATTACCTTTCAGGATTGTCGCGTGTACAAGTTTTTTCCGACAACCTTTCTTAGCTGTACACGTGAGATTGGGGGGAATCTGGGCCTAGTTGCTCGAAGATTGCAAATCCAGTATTGGTTACCCTGAAAAAAAGTTATATGTGGTGTTTGTAGTTGACCCAAGGTTAGACCCAATCACCTTGGACGTCGACTCAAAATTTTGACTTTAATAACAGTTTCTATATGTTAGTGCTATTAGAAATGTATGATGGCGACGTCTTTGTTCTTGGGAACAAACTGGTGCATCTTGAATGATGAATTGACATTTTCGTTGTCTTGTTGTCTTTTGTTCGTATTACGTTACTTTTTTGGCATAGTAGCCCTAGATGAGAGTTGTGCAAAATAGATTTAATTTAAAAACATAGAAACACTAGAAACCAGTGAAGATGATTTTGTTCTTGGGGTTTTATATCTTCAGCGGTAGTGAAGGCAGTGTGGCCGAGTGGTTAGAGCGCTGGAAGTTCAACTCCCGCTCTGATCGCTTGCTGGATTTGTTCTCGATAGTTACTAGTTCAAATCCTCGGCCACGGGAACTGGCCAACGGTTTGCATCCGGACAGTTGGCACGCATCTGCTTGGCCCCACTACCATTAGTGCTATAATAACTGTAGAGGATAAATAACGGAAATTTATTTATTCATTTTTAGCAATGAACTTGTTAGAAGTGGCTAAAGCTTTGAAGCTGACCACACTGGTGCAAAACCTCAACCAAAGCAGTCTCGCGACCACACTGAGAGACAAACGAGGTCCTTTTACGCTGTTTGCTCCATCAAACAAAGCGTTCGAGAATTTACCCGAATCAACCAAACAACTGTTACGGAACAATCCTGACAAACTAAAGGAAATTCTCAGTTACCACATCATACCTGAACAGAAATTGACTTATGAATTTGGCAAGGACTTGTTGGTAAATTCATCAAGCGCGCCCCACAAGTTGCGGCTGAATTCATTCAGATACGGAAAGGTGAGAAATAGCTAAAATTATGTTCTGGAATTTTTGTTCAATCCTTTAGCTTTAATTTCCTAGGCTACAATTGGTTAGGATGGTTGGGATAATGTGCTAGACATACACCCCCCCCCCCCCCTCTTTTCCCACCCATTTCGATCCAATCAACAGAATCAAGGATATGTGAGGGTGGGGACAAAATGAGAACGGACAAATTCACTACATTATTTTTAAGAAATCTAACGATCTTGGAGCGTTTTGCCTTCAGATCTCTTGAACAGTAGCCGGCAACTTTACTTGGACACCCTTATTCGCCTCCTCTTAGCTTCCTCTTAGTGTACCTTTGTTTTGAAAAAAGTATACAATCACCTTGCATATTCAAATGGTGTTTGCCCAGCCTCATGAAAACGCAACCACCATGCAATTACGATAGAATCCCTTTAAAACATCGTATATTCGAAAACATAACATCCGTTTTGGTCCGTCCACACGAAGATGTCCACTCTGGGGGCCGTTTTCAAAAACCCGCGTGTGGACGAAAAGCTAGAACGAAGAAAAAATATTCCGGTTACGTGTGAACGGGACTACTACAAGTCAATTATAGATTAGACCGGTTTAGCACCGACTGCAGGGCCCCAGTGGTCTGGGATGGAGTCAAATTTTTTGAACGCTTTTACGTTAAGATATATCTCCAGCACTGTTTTTTTCAGCAATAATTCCTTATTATTCCCACCAACATGAGGAAAAATCATCTAGGATTATTTTTCGTCATTTTTACCCTGCAAACGTACCTGCTTTCTGGCCAGCCAGGTAATCTTATTTTGGCGAACACAAGGATCTATCAAAGTGAAGAGACGGTCGAATTCATGCTTTTGTTACTATTTCAGGTACATGCTGTGAATGGCGCGTGTATAACTAAAGCCAACGTTCAAGGCTGCAACGGGATCATTCATGTCATTCAGAAAGTCCTACTGCCGCCAACGAAAACAATTTATGACCTTATCAACTCGGATTCTCGCTTTGTCACCTTAGCGGAGGCCATCAACAGGACCTCACTGAGGACAACCCTTCAGAATCCCTCGGCCTCGTTTACTCTGTTTGCCCCAACAGACTGGGCCTTTGCTAAATTGGAGCTCCGCTCCCCTGGGACAATGGAAACACTCCTGGCCAATCCAGAGGAGTTGACCGAAGTTATGGAACATCACGTGGTGAGGGGAACATTTTACACGTGCGGTATCCACTGCATGTACAGCTACTGGTCGATTTTCAGTAATCACTTCGCTATGTATTCTATGGGCCGCGGAGTCATCAGATTGAGGCACGCCGGGGGCAGTCGCGTTTATGTTAATGGCATGCGCATTAGTGACCTCGATCTGCCTGCTATTAATGGAGTCATTCATGTGATTGACGACGTGTTGGAGCTCTATCCCCAGGGACGCCGCAAGCATCGACAACTGGCGCACAGCCGGGTAGCAAGTCACGGTAAAAAGAGACGCTTGCATTGATTGAAAGACAGAGGAAAGATATGCTTTCGCTTTGCGCACCTTGCCAATAGTTATACAATGTTTGTTTGTTTGTTTGTTTTTTTAATTGGCTTTCAACTTGATGATTTAAAAAAGGAAAAAAAATAGAAAAGCTGTGAAGAAAACTCGTGTTATTTTTCTGCTATTAAGCAATTGTAATGTACTGAAGCTATAAAAATCACATTAAATATATAATCAGTCAGCTTCATATGACATATTTTCAATTTCTCACGTATGGCTGGAAACGATAGAGACAGATAGAGATAGAGAAAGATACCACGACGGCCACGGCGGCAAAAACGTCGCTTATAAAGTGACTTTGCGTTCTTAGTTTGAAACTTCAGTGCGATTATCCCAACTCGCTCACTTTGTCCAATGTGGGCAAACTTTCCTGGAGTTGAATTCTTAAGAAAGAAATTCAAGTTTAGGGAGAGAAAGAGAAATTTGTCGTCGTATGTTCACGATGTCGATGAAACGTAAAAATTTGGCAATTCACGGCGTAGTCGTGCATTGACGGCAAAGCAATGTACAAAAAAGCGTGGTGCACGTGCAGTGCTGACTTGTTGATATGCCAATCTAAACCTATTGCTTTTGTGACGTTTTCGTACGTTGCTGTTGCCGTCGTGACATCTTAACCTCCCTATATCTCAATACTAAGTAGTGCTCGCGCGTAAACCAGCGTCATTATGGCGGGAAAAAGTGGAAGGCGTCTTTCTTTAAGCGAGTTTAAGCGAGAATATCGCAGTGGCGGAAACAAGTTCTCAACTGATAGAGGTTTCATCATTTTGCGATCGGGAGAGGGCTTAACCTCCTTCAATAAAAATAATCGTGCTAACTTTTTTAGTGGAAAAAAAGCACAATGAGTCTTTCCGGGGTTTATATTATATGAGAATACGTTAAAAAATTAAAGATATATTTCGTTCTCGTCCTCGAATCTAACGGTCTTTATTGTGTCTCCCAACGAAAACTTTTCTGGAATTGCGCCGTTTGTTAAAAGCACTATCTTTGCACGTCATATCATCATCCAATGCTGAACATCTTAAATTAACCTGTCTTCATGACATGTATAAAACTTTTAATTTTTTCTTAAGATGTGAGTAATTAACAATTAGCATTAGAAAAACATGATTTTCATAAAAACGCAGGAAGGGTTGTATCAAAACAAGGTGATCTACAGGTGGTTTCTACCCGCAACTGTAAAATGGGTCATTATAGCAAACAATGTTTCCCAGGGAAAAAAATACAAATAGACTGAAATGAAAGACGTATAAATTCCGCAAAAAAAGCGCTACAGACTGTACCTTATTCCTTTCCTAGCATAACTGTTTTTAGAAAAAAAGTTTCAAGTATAATTTAGAGTATATAATCTACAATAGCTTCAATTACCATGGTTAAAGTTTTTAAACTTGTAATTTAAGATTGCTACTTCTGTCATTGAACCAGATAAGGCGATCATCTCGTATGTGTCCCACTGGAAGCCGCTGATCCACAGGACTGACTGTTGCCTTGAAGCTGTAAGTCTTAATTACTTGAACCGCAGGCTCATACTGACACTGACCGGTTCTTACAGCAACAGGAATTTCAAGTTGATCGAGGTCAGCGGTGTAATAACCATTCACAGCAATGAATTTCTACACGTTATAAACAACGAAAAAAACACAATGACCAAAAATACAGATGTATAAAGCACTTTGTACATGAATCAATCGACAAACGATACTCGGGGTATCTTTATATTTGCTGCCCCAGTACTGAACCTATTGCGCTAACGAGCACAGGTGATAGCATGTCTTTGACAAAGAGATAAAATAATTATAATACCTTTTGGGCGTCATAAATCATCACAAGGGCGGAGTAGACAGGCCAATTAGGTGTGCGAACAAACTCTGTTGCATTCACGGCGTCTGTGCTGAACTGAATGAAACCCCACCTACGGAAATTAGTAAATGATCGTTAGCGAAGAAGTTGTCCGATGCTTTTAGTGGCTTGAAACTTGATTACGATCGTGTGGAAGACATAACACTGCACATAGCTGAACGAGGCTCAACGACGGAGCACTTTTGCCTGGATGAGAATTTTTGGTCGAATATGTGTGATGTTTCTGTGCGCTACGTCTGAGATCACTGTTGCCATGCTAACGCATAACGCAAAGTGGACCCGTCTGCTGTCCTCTCATCCGCCACATTTCATTTTGTGAATACCTCTAAAAAAAAAAAGACTTGTTACTCCTTTGCCTCAATACAGCGGTGAAAAATTATTTCACTAGAAGTCCATCTTTCTCATTCTTCTCACAGCTCCACCACCAAAACCAAAATCACGAGTACAACGAAGCACTCTTGTACTTCATAGTCATGGTTGTGTCTATGCTTAATAGTATTTCGAGGTCGCACGTAACCGCTCCAAGGAAAGATGGCGTATACCCGGTACATACCTCTCAGGTAAGTGCATATTAATAGCACTTTGTGATGACCAAACCCAGTTATCTTCTGGAACATTAGGAACCTGTCAGACAGAAAATATAGTCGAAATTCCTCTATCGGACACCGCCTGCAGACGGACACCTATATGTGGTAAAACACTACTTTTTCAATCACCCTGAAATGGAAACCCTTTTAAAGCGGGCAGTTTTGCTAATCTTCAGGGGTGCCCGTTGATAAATGTTTGACTCAACATTCAATTTAACTCAGTATCGTATTGCGAAACAGCGCAATCAAACATTTCGATGAAACAACCTTTGAGTTTTAGAATAAGGAGTAAAACAGGAGCAGGCTGCAATAAGGACCTCACACAAGGACCATTAGCGTGCGTGTAAAGCCTATGCGTTCGCTAGGAACACTGAAAAACAGTTCATCGATTGAAGGGACCAAATTGAGACAACTCAGTAAAGGTCATTGCGATCACAGAGTCCTTTGTGACAATGATTCCAAAGATTGAACATACACTGTATGGAGGTTGCGCTTAGGACTAGGACAGTGTTGTGTCGAATTGCACTATGGGGATGTTTTGGGAACGCTATCACACATCTTTTGGCTGTTATGAAATTGCGCGGAAACTGGGTCACAATTCCTCCCCCAAAACATTCCCACAGTACCATTCGACACAACTCCGACCCAGTCTCAAGCGCAACCCAAAAATGGCCGATGCACCAGTTCTATTTTAACACGTTAAGCCCAAAGAGTGATCAGCATCAATTTTCTCCTTGCAATGTCTGTGCTTTATAAAACAGAGTGGTTAAGAGAATTAAGCAATTGAACACCCAAGATGGATTTAATTGATAACTTGGCAACTTCTCTCCACTAGTCCTACAGTTAGGGAAAACAAATGGGAATTAATTTCGATAAAAACAAGACTGTGCTTACCAACCTTCTCATAATGCCCATGAACGTTCCTTACATGCCATTCAACCCTACAAACGAAAAAGTGACTAAGAAATTACTCTGGGATGGTTGTCTGTTTACTATGTTAAGGAACAGAGCTTTAGAATGGAGCCTTTTAATTGAGGTGACAGGTGAATTGAATTGTCTCTTTTTTGCCCTGCCAAGGGTAAACAGCTCCGTTGCCACACAGCTATAACTCTGAAGAGACCTGCTATGCTGAGCGGGAAGCCGTGACTTCAAACCCAAGCCGAATCACTAAGGTCTTTAAAAAATACCTCGTGAAATCATGCTGGCTGTGATTAAAACTCTTTCCCAGTTCAGATGATGGCGTCATTGGGAAGTGACATTTAAAGCCGTTGTCCTTGTCTCCTTCATCCTCCCAAATAAGTTGGAAGAGGAATGGACGTAAAAGAACCCGCGACATTGTATAAAAGAGTAGGAGATGTAGTCACCCCGGTGCCATATTCTATCTGACATGTGCCGTCATTGGCCGTTGGCCCTTTACATAAGGACATCCGATCTCACCTCCCTGGTTCCTCCGCATTTCAGCCACTGGCTGCAGCTTAGAGCAGTCGGGTACTCGATTATTTTATTATTATTTCATTATTATTAAGCTTTTTTTGCTAAATTAACGTATTGTATTGAGGTCTAGGCAGAGCAGCACTGAGCGCCTTTCTGGGGTTTAGCAAAATTACGCCTCAGGGATGAACCTACCAGGGATAACCAGGGATCAGGGACAATTAACTAACCACGGATCATCCCCAACAAACTCACGTCAAACTGCTATTAACGGCCTTACGTTTTTTGGCCTTCTTCCTTGAGACTGGATATAAAAATTCAAACCTGCTAAAGTTAATCCTCCATTGGTCCTTGTTATTTGGTGGAGCAGATGCCGTGGGACTGTGATCAACAAGATTAGTGAAGGGCAGAGCAAGTTCGACTGTCCAGTACTTGTCTTTCATGTGCAATTCCATAGTTTATCATGATTATTACACATAAACAAACAAAGAACGAACACAACAAGTGTAAGCATGCATTCTCTTTTATAATCTAGTATAATGGTTAAGTCATTTATTGGTCAATTCGTTGTCCACTTAACCTCCTGTACGGAAGTTTTGCAAAACGATTTTTCCACTGGCAAACAGACAACAATGTTAAAGTTGTATTGTGGTTGTCATGGCCCATCTTGGAAATCTTTTTCAGCGCATTTCTGCTGCCGCTTCAGTGAAACGCACAAAGTTTTTGTCATCTGACAATTCGCTTATCAGATGCCTGTTCCTCAGGTTCCGTAGGTCTTATTGGTCTTGTTCTTTTTTGTCCACACTATAAACTACAAAGCCACATTACATCCAGCGTTCATCATCAATTTTAAAAGTATAGACCTCAAACTTGGCCAATCGGAAGTGTTATGTAAACCCATAAAAAGTGTTTCAAACATCAATGAAACTGACATAACAAAAACATAATTATACTAAACCTGGAACAGATGCATTATTGATGGGTCCAGCCACAAAAATAGCACTTTTCATGCTTGGCATTTCCCAGCTGCTGTTTGGAGTGCCACCATTGAGATATGGCTACAAGGAAAAAGTGTAAAACACCACGTTATAAAGATAAAATAACACTAGGAAACATACACAACATTCTTTTTTTTGAACAGGTGATTAAACATACAGTTCAAAGAATTTTGAAAGATAAGCTGACATAAAGAAACCAAACCACGGATAACAAATTGTAGTACCTGGAAAATCGTAGATACCAGCTTTTCTTTATGTTCATCAAGTTTCAAAATATCCAAAGCCGCTGTGAAGTATGATCTCGTTTTGACAAGTTTCCTCTGTCTGGAAGTTTTGAACGTTTGCGGCAAATGCTATTATAGTCCTGGTATCTCATAACCACCCCTCAATCTAGAGGCATGAATTTCACCTGTCTCCTCCAATTGCACATTAGGAAATGTGTGACTTGATTTAACAGTTGAAGTTCAAGCTAGTCTTACACTGCTCCTACTTACATAGTTTCTTTGAAAATCCTTCCAACACAGAAAGCCATGGGTGCAATTGCCAAAATTATAAAACAGACTTGACGTTTGTGTCTTGCACTGATTTTATGTTTTTTTTACGGATTCTTGAAATTTTGTCCTGTGTGGAGACATGAACTCACCTTGTTCAGTTCCAGATCCCAAGTAGTATTGATGGCATTTATCTCAAATTCTTTGTACCTGTGTGAATAAAAGAAATGAAATGGTACTCAGGACCATTAGAAAAGATCCACCTTTTATGTTTGATTAAATAATTGTTTGACATTATTTCCAAGGTATTATTAATTGTTACCAGTGAGTATCTCCATCTGGGTCCATAAACACCTGTAAGGAAATGAGAAGTTGAAAACAAGTTGCTAGTTTTTTTATGTATTTTTTTTTTCTTTTTCTTGTAACTAAGTGCTACTAATGTCTGAGGTCCGGCAACAGGCTTGTAGGAGATTCTGGTTACATCAAGTTTCATTGAAGCTTGCCAGGTGAGGTGATTGGGGTGGGGCGGAAAAATTTAATGGAAGGAAAAGGCTGGAATAAGGGATAAAATATGGGAACGGAGGGTAGGAACAATATTGGTTATGAAAGAAAAGATGAGAATGAAAGAAATGGGGTGAAGCTGACAAGAAAAAAGGGGATAAAAGAAAAAGGGTAGGAACTGGGGGAAAACTAGAAGAGAATGAAAGAAAAGAGGATGGAAGTCAAGATGATAGGCTGTGAGCTGGGAGATGGGGGGGAGGTGAAATGTAGAAGAAAGGAGATGGGAACTGGAAGAAAAAAAAAGAGACAAGGGGGCAATTGAAGATGAAAGCTGAAACAAGGTGAAAGCAACAAGGATAAGAGTACATAAAAATGAGGATGGAATACTGAATCATGTTTTAATTTGTTTGACTTTCTAATATCAATCACCTAAACAAAAAGATATTTTTTCAGAAGCCAAACTAACACAGAGACTGAGGGTGAAAAATACAGTCAGGAGAAAGGGACACGTTGTCACCAACTGGATGAACTGTTTGTGCAAGTAATCTAAAATAAAGGTTTCTATTTCAGATTTTATGCTACTTACCTCAAAGTCATTATCTTGAAACACTAGAGTTTGTAAAACAAAACAAAGTTTTTTGTGAGAAAGTCATTGATTAAATAATAATTCATGAAAAGAAAATGAAGAAAATCATTTTCAGTGCTTAAATCATCTATGACATCCAGAAAACCTAAAGTTAGTCTTAAAACACGTGGCTGTACCTTCTTTTTTTAACCCAATTCTTGGTGTCTGGATAGTGGAAAAAAAGTTTGTGTTGTGATTCACGTTTTTATGTATTAGTACATGATCAATTAGGCGTTGACTAATGCTATTCATACAGAACTTTCCCTTCCCAAGAAACCTGGTGAGATAAATCGGAAGACATGAAACAGAGACACAAAAAATATATTTGACTAGGGAAAATAGCTGCAGGCTAATAGTTACCTACTGAGTCATGTTTTGTCTGATTTGCCCAGACATCAGTCTCCTGAAGATATGCCCCAAGGTACAAGAACTTATCATCCCATCGCATTTTAGCATGCGTTCTGAAACGCGGCTTTTTGAAATCTGGTCCCTGAATGTCTACAAGGAGAGGCAAATAAAAGATCAACAATACAGAACAAAGTGATCTCCATGAGCTGAAAAGCATGGTCATGTTAACAGTGCAGAATTGTAGCAGAAACCAAGTGAGCAAGTGTCTAAGTGAGCAGAAGGGTTACTCTATCTTGGGGTCTTATGAGAAGTAGTATATTGGAAGACTAACTATCAATCTTTCACATTATAAAGAAATTTAATACATAAACGACTGTTATTATTCATTCAAAATAAAATATTTCCCTGATTCTAATTGCATGGCTAAAAGCAAATGCATAATTCACCATTAAACCAGTTAATGATGACCAAATTTGGAAGAATTTTGTGTTTAACAAGGAAATGACGTCAAAACTGCAGTGTTCTTGCAGGTTAATGCACCGTTAACTGAGAAGACCTGGGGATGAGGTTGAGTTGTTTTGGTTGTGAAAACAAAAAATGGAGGAGATTTCACTCTTTTCAAGAGTAAGAACTAGGCGAAATTATAGCTAAAAACATGGCAAGAACAGCAAGAACACAACTCAAAGCGCGACATCTGCTATTTGGAGAATATTTGCGCACGGAACTGAGCGACCTGAACATGCACTATCGAAGGTGATCTTAACGACAATGGAGGTAAGCATGTTTTAGCTTTGTTTTTAAACTAGGAATTATTTTGAATGAATAATAAAACAATTATTGAATTCGGCTTTTGTATCATATGAAGAATTATGGAGATCTTGGAGGGTGTTATCCACCTCAGCCAACGGCCTCGACGGATAACACCCTCCTCCATCTCCATAATTCTTCATAAGATACTCAGCCTCATTCATCAATTGTTAATTAATTAACAACAAAACCATAACTCATGGTTTTCATAACCCTTAGTCTCCTCCAACACTCATCACTCATCCCTTAATTTAAGCCATTGTAGACCTTTAACAGGGCTCACTATAATCGCTCTGGTTATTATACCCTAGCTCAGTGTACGCTAGGATCCACTTGACCAAGTCTAAAAGATAATATTATGACGTGGTAAATCACCATCCACCCTTTGTCCCCCACCTCTACCCATCCCCACTTTGGTCACAGTCTCCTTCATACAGTCCATACGATTTACTGAGATCTCATCTCATGCCACCTGTTTCTTAAGATGTATCGGTGAAAACTATTTTGTGTTTGTATGAAAAGTTGGGCCCAACTCTTGTTACTGAGATCCCGGGGGGGGGAGGGGGGGGGTACTCCCATACATTACCTATACTGATTTAGAACGGGGTATCCATTTCAGAGGAGTTTTCTAGAACGGGGTATAAAAAATTGTGGATCGCAGCTTTATCTTCCACTTAAAATTGTTGCCGATCATGAAGAAGCATTTATTTGATGTATAAGTCAAACAAATAAAGAAATATCTTTATTAAAAAACAGGGCTATTTCAATACAAACTTTCTAGAACGGAGTATAAAAAATTGGCCCATTTCTAGAACAGGGTTTCAGTTTTAGGGCGAATTCTAGAACAGGGTATCAATTTTAGGGGAATTTTTTTTAGAACAGGGTGCCAATTTGGAGTCCTGGGCGGCACATACCCACCCAAAAAATACCCAAGTGCCCCCGGGCTGAGATCACATTTCCTGCAGCCAATATTAATTATTCTCATTAACTGGGATAGGATTTAACCATATAATAACAGTTCATCTTGATCATCGGCATTATTTTTTCAATGCAGATGCAATTGACTTCTACAAATCATTCAATAGAAAATGTTGAGACCCCATAATACCAGTTTTTTTACTTTCCGATCCAATTTCTCTCGAAATTTTGTAGTAATTACTTTGGCATGACAAAACAATGCATGGGTGTTTTGTAATTTTTTGTCTATATGAAGATTACGAAAAGATAGAATTTTGCGCGATATCTTTGGACCGGATTTGTATCAGACGGGGTCGGGAGGGCGGTGGGGGGGGTCTCTTTCATGTTGTTTGGAGGGGACCTTGGTGAAAAGTTGCCTCACATAGCTCTAAATATGCTAGTTCTAAACAACACCGCGGCAAAACGTCTACGCATGCGCCAGGTTGAGCATTTCTGGTCTCTTTTTCAGTCACACTTTCCAGTCAGATCAAAGTCTCCCGCGCGCTCTCGGCTTCATTCTGTGTGCAGCTTGTGGTTCAGTTGTTCTGCTTTATGCTGCTCGTGTTTTTGACTATTTCATAGTTATTGAAATTGCTTTTACGGATAACCAGGCACAGATCACTGAAACAATTAGTCGATTAGATTCAGAAAAGGTAAATTCATAATAACTCAGTGGGTAATTTTCGATAGAGCGTCAGGTAGACTGATTTTCATTCACGAAAACAAAGTTTTTAACTGTTATTTTTCACTTAACCTGGCTGAAACTAAGACATAAAAAGTTATCATTGCAAGCTTGTGTATTGTAGTTCTAATTTTCAGTTCTTCAGTATCTCAGTCTTCATGCCTTAAAGCCGATTCGAGCTTTATTTATTTATTTATTTATTTATTATTTTCGTGTTTTGAAACGAAACTCTTCTGAGTTGATTGCCATGAAAAATAAGCTTAATTATACTGCTGAAGTTGGCAGCAAGTTGACAACTCTATTTATTTTTTTCATTCTCAGAATCAGAGAGCGAAAGCTGGTTCGGTGGCTTTTAGAAGTCAAAATTTCATGCCATGTATTTAGTAGCTGAAGGTTTCGTGTTTGCGTGAGATGCAGCCGAGCCGCACAGTATGAAATTATTGAAGTCTTCACCGACCAAAGAACAACCAAAGAACAACCATGTAAAACAATTAAATAGGCATTTTCTTGAACGAAAGTCGTTATAGGCATGTTTAGTTTCCCGGCACTGAAAGCTCCGGGTGTTCGTGACTGCAGTTATCAAAGTCGAGGTTGTTATTAAATCCCACACATCTTTTGTTTTGAGTTCTTGTTTTCTCTGATAAAATTGTTCAATAGACTAAAATTTTATTTCCTGATTCTAGTGTTAATGATAATGATGACGTCTTTATTTTGGTTTCTTTCATAAGTATTGCCATTCTTTTCTTAGTTATCGCCTTCTCCCAAATTAACTTATGCCAAACCAGTAGCATGAAAGAAAGCCAGTGAAAACAAATTCGTCTTGTCGAACGCTCGCGACCTGCAAACTTCAAACATCATTTTCACCGTTGGTGCAAACAGATAACCATGTGGTGCAAACGTTTGACACTAGAAAAATATATAAGCTTTCGATTGTAGTGATTTTTTTGGCCCCCTTTTCTGTCTGTTTCGCCCTTTTTGCTTTTAAACTTGGCGCCAAGGCAATGTCAGGCTTACCCAATTGGTTTATATACTAGACCGGAAATAAAAAGCTGACCGGATGTTAAATTTTGTGCTCATGCGCAGTGCGTTTTGCCGCGGTGTTGTTCTAAACATTTGTCCAAAAGATCAAGAACTTACCTATGAAGTCCTCTGTCCACGAGACAGAATCCCATGCACTGTCATCTAGTTTTCCATCCACGTCAATAACTTCACGGTCGCTCAAATGATACACCACGTAACTTCGAGGAAAAGGAAGAGTGCATTCCGACGGATAAGAGTCAGTGCGAAGGAAGAACATCAGGAAATAGTAAACGAATACCAGAGACGTGCAATAACTTAACCTCCCCATCATTCTGTCAAAAGAAACTTGCATTGAAGAACGTCAAACTGTAAGATGATCTATCATCAATTCATCGATCCCATTTGAAGGAATTGAAGAGAAGTCGGAAGCGAGATTTTCCAGGATTTTCCAGAAGATTTTCCAAGATTTTCCGGGGTCAGCGGAAGCTGCCTTTAGTTACCAGTGCCTACTCTTTGATATCGTTAGCGCCTTGTTGTTTCTTTTCACAAGTGCCCACGACGCCGATAAAAATGCCTACAATCGTTAGCCAGGTGAGTAAAAACAACATCACATTGGCTTAAAATCACAGAAAATGTTTGAACAAAACGAATATTTTTTTTAATTTTAATGTTTATGTAATTATATAAGCATTCTGCAACATCCTTTTTACGGTGGACAGAGGACAACTGTTTGTTGTTGTCCTTCGAGTCACCTCTCAGCTGACCTCTCCGCGCGCGTGCGTTTGAACAATCCTTTTTTGACAAATTTTTTTGAGGATTTGCCATCTTTATTTTCGCCAATCATTTGTAGCCAATCATTTGTGACCGGCCTCTGACCGAAAATTATTTTGAGCCCTGTGACCTTCTTCCTGTTCTCTCAAATTTGTTAGATTGAGGATCTTGAAAATAACATAAAAGCATCTGAAGATGAAATGGACATGATAGACCGAAGTCTACGTCTAAGAAGATTGTCAGAGAATGAAAGGTAGTTCGACAACTACATGATCTGCATTCTGATAAGATAAAAATAATTACTTGGTTTTTCATGTTAAAGTGAACAAGAACTTTGTGTTATGCAGTCATTGATACACGTGTTCCATAAGTGGAACATGTTACTAACTTTAGTGTGTACCTTATAATTGCTCTTTTGAGTCCTATTTTTAGTTCTGTTACAGTGCAGTGAGACTTAATGTCCTTTTGAAGTAATAAACTAGCCTGTTCCATGCTCAAAGATAGTGTCAGTGAGGAAAGTCGATCAAGAAAAGTTGCACGAAAACCGCATGGGGGCTGGGGAGAGACAGATTAGTGGGGCCTGTAAGCATTGTTTTCAATACCTCATTCCAGTTTACCAGCTCCAGGTATATCCTACGATTGGTCAATTGTGAGAGTTTAGGAACCGTTCATTTTTAATGGGGGAGCAAGGGGCTAGTGGGATTTGACAAGTAGCTCCTATTATGATGACCCCCCCCCCCCCTTCATAAGAAATGTTTTGGACAGTGCCCCCTTGTGTCCCAAATTAATTTAGATGACCCCCCAAAAAAAAAAAAAATAAAATAAAGGAAAGGTAAAGAAAGAAAGAGAGAGAGGACAAAGAAAAAATGACTAACTGAATTTTGTTACTCTTTCCTAATGAAATGTTCAGTTTGTTAAATGTATGCTTTTATGCTTTTTTGCATTGTAGTGCAGTAGAATTGTCTTTTGGTGCATGATAAAGTAGGGGTCTGGGGGCATGCTTCCCCGTAAAAATCGGAACTTTCTGAATGTCAGGAATGCTGGTTTTTGGCATTCTGGTGGGTGGTTTGCATTTTTACAAAGCCGTCACTGACCACCCCTTTAAAAGCCAAAGCCAAGTTTTTCCTCCCCCCCTCATATCCCACCAGCCCCCCCCCCCCAACTGCCCCCAACTGATGAAAAATGAATGGTTCCTTACTTTGCTCAGGCAGAGAGTCTAACAAACCTTGTCGAGGATGTAAATTTTTCGTCAACACAAGCGGTGAGAGAACTGTTTTGCAGTTGCCGACCAACAGCTACCACTTGTCTATGGTGGAGCTGGCACTTAAAGGAGTGCTTTGCTCTCACCACCCGTGGCAGTAAAGGGTCTGTGATACGTGGATTTGCCTGCTCATAGACCTGATGAGTATGCCATGCTGATGAGCCCCCATAAGGGCAAAACAGCTGTCCATGACTGCCACTGCTGGGGTGATATGGATGTGTGCATGCATAAGGTAATGCCCATACCACGTAGTTGGTACGCATGCTTCAGAGCTGATATTGGTAAAAACCCTCCTACACCACACCTTTTGACGTTTTGACATTTGACATTTTGACTCAACAAACAGTCTTTCAGGATGCAGGCGGGATAGTGGGTGGATTGAGGTATTTGAAAAAAAGGTTACCTAGGCTCTCCTCTTCTCTGTTCCCACTGTTGCCTCATTTTTTCCACCCCTGCTTGCTCGCTTTTTACACTCGTCCGTACTGATCAATAAGTAATAAGCTGAGATTAAACTCGGTAAGAACCAAACTGTTTAAAGGAAAAAAAATTTACACAGAATTCCTTAGTTAAGAAAAAACTTACCCAAAGAGCTTAGGATGGACTACCTATGCCTGCCAAGTTTCAAAAAACGTTATGGAAATTTTAACAGGATTTTGCTAGACTACGGACTTTGATCCTAATTGCCCACCTGTTACTCGGTTAAGGCGTAGCATCATAGTCGATCATCATAGTGCTTTTCTTAATAATAATTTATGTGTTGCTTTTTATGTAACATTTTCCTCAAATTAGTTCTTTAAATGCATTGTTAGTTAATTATTTTCGAATTAGGTGGAGTAAGTTCTCTTTAAATGACTTGTATGCAATGATAATGGATTAATTTAACTAAAAATTGAATAAACTATGGTAGGTTCCCTGTTTTTACCCTTAATTATACATAAAAAAAACAACAACAACAACAACAACGGTGACAAATTATTATACCATGTGGTTGTTTTGCAATTGTTATTGTTAATTGTTTCTTTTCAATGTAAGGTACATTCATAATACTGAAAATCTTTTACACTATTAGGTTAGACTTGGAGCATAAAATGAAGCAGTTACAAGAACAAATCAAGGAAAATGGTAAGCATTGGTTTACTTTAACAGGTCATTTTCAACATACAAGGCGCATCTTGTAGTCTAGTAATTTGCCTGTGCTTCCGTTAAAAATAGAAGAATCTTCATAATAGCCATTGTCACCGATTTAGTGGTATATTTTTTACATTTTTGCCATGATTTAGAGGAAGAAGTTCGTCTAGTTCGCTTTTTTTGCATAAGCATGTGTAATCAATGATGCTAAACTATGACATACGGAAAAATCATTTTAGGCATGTTTTGTCAAAGTTCTATTTATCAGTTCCAAATTTGGAACTGGTAATGAAAAATTAGCCGTGGAATTCTCTGGAAAATCTGGACCATTTACAGAGATAGTGAAATCTCTTACAGACTTTGTAATTACTATAAGAGTGCAAAAACATACGAAACACAAAATGACTCTAAAATCATTTTTGCAGACATTTCATACAGTTTTTTAATATCTGCATTTCTAGAATGTTTATGAAATAACTACAAATTTCAGCTACTAAATTTCAGGGAATCTAGAACGGAGAAGTATTTTGAATGAGTAATAATGCCGATCATAGGTTTCAAGGGCGTCATGGGTGATCATTCGATTAAGGTGCAAAAAGAAATATTCAACAAATGTATATTCTGCCTTTTCAAATTACCAAAATACATTTTAGAACTTATTATTATTATTACTATTATTATTATTATTATTATTATTATTATCATTATCATTATTATTATTTTGTTATTTTTTTACAGAGAGAGACCTTGGAAGGTTACGAAAAGAAAACCGAAAATCCATGCTCATGTCTGTTGCAATCCTTGCCCTCTTCATTGTTGCATACTTAATAATAACCAGCTAGCGACAAATCTTAGAGGAAATGTGTAGAATGTAATTATTTATAATGATATGAATGTTATTCAAAGAAAATGTCATTAACTACGATTATACACCCATCTCCAGCGTCTGAACACCATATATTTACCTATATACACCTTATATTAATACCCTATCTTTATATACACCTTATATGCACTAAATATACTGCTGTATACACCTTGCATCAACTAAATTCACTAACCTAACAATACAAAGATATATTTACAGCCGGCAAGGCGTCAAAATTATCAATATCAATATAGTCATCAGGCAGACTGTTCCACAACTTTATGCTACTGACGCTGAAAGACCTTCCCGCTTCGGTGATGTGTCGAAACTTTGGGCATACGAAGTTAAATTGGTCATGTCTGGTCTCTCTACCGTGCACTGATTTGTTCCTAATTAAGAAATCATTGATATACATGGGTGATTCGCCTTGCAATGCCTTATAAAGTAGAACACACTCATTTATATTTTAGCGTCATCGTGAATCTACACCAAGAATTATTCGCGTCGCGCAGACATTTTCTGTAATTATCGTAAAGTTCTCTTGAGATCATTGTTAGAGCAAGAAGTCCACATCATGCTCCCATAAATTATTGTCGGTTTAATTAGGGCATTTTAGAACAATTCTCTTTCTCCAATCGTTAGGTAAGTACGGCCAATTTTGGGGCTTATTTTCTTACAAAGTTGATCGACATGTTTGTTCTTTAAAGGTAAGTTCTTCGTCAATTGTAACCCCAAGCAACTTCTGGTGCATGACTTGTTCAATGGCTGCACCACCGGCCTGAAGATCCAGACCAGACCCATTTATTTGTGATTTTAGTCATTTTCCAGTTACCAGCATTGATTTGGTTTTATTAGCATTAAGAACCATGCGATTTCGTGAATGCCAATCACACAAACTGTAGCTATCATGTTTAAGCCAAATACTTGATGGTAAAATGCAACCATTAAATCGTTGGAACCTAACTGCAGTAATGCTTTGTCTGGTTGAAAGTACTGGACTCCGTTTTATCGCATTCAAACGTTCTGTCAGCGGTATACTGAGACACCTATTCCGACGCATCTGAATATGGCACAATGACATCCCCACTGAAAGAGTGATAATCACTGGAGCAGAATCATCACCGGTAGCTAACACGCGTAGCGCATTGATTAAGTTGTTGGAAGAGGGAGAAGTTAAATTACTTGCCTAAAATTTAGCGAAACTTCAGTGAACGCCAAGTGCATAAATATATACTTTATTGTCTTCTCCCCAAAGGGGCTCTTCGGGAACAATCATTATTTACAATCGTAATTTTTAACTATTTATTGACCTTTATTAAATGTTTACGAGTTATTGCCTGCGCATGCGCAGGCTAACTAAAACACAATAGTTTCATTGCTGTCATTCCCTTAAATACTATAGTATTATATCATTTCTTATTACCAGTTGACGCGCCTTAGTTGACGACGGCAAGTTAATTACTAACCTGCTTTCAATGACATATAGTTTTGGGAGAAAACAGAATTAAAATTATGATCAAAAGTTCGTTCAATATCTGCTTTAGCAGTGAGAAATATATATATTTTTTTTCATGAAGGAAAAATGTCTTTCTCCTGCTTTACAGAAAGGACTCCCTCCTAAAGCCACTACCATTACGACTGCGTTCAGTGAGTCTTGAATGCAGCCTAATGACCAGAACAAACTTCTACTTCTCAAATGGTCATTGCTCCTTCGGAGTTATTCTAAAGAAGCTTGCATCATGACTAAGACCACGCTTAAAAGGACGAAGAAGATGTTGACACGATTAATTCCTGTTCCGCTGGGCTTAGTAGGTATTGGTGGTTCTGTGAAAGAAAAAGGAGGAAATGTATGAAATCGGATAGCTGTTGTGTTAAAAGTAAGGTCTGTCCCTAATCATGTCGAGGGTTGTGGTAGACCGATACCTAATTTTGGAAGTGAAACCACGGCAGCACAAGATTTACCAAGACTTTTGGGAAATTTCACAACACTCAATCTTACTCTCTAATATCGATGCTGTGAGCCGAAAGGACATGCGCATCCTTCCTGCTGACCTGCATTTTCCCAAAATGATAGGACTTTCAGTCGACATAGAACGGGGCACTGTGAAGAGTTTCAGTGTTTATCTCACAGGAAAATTACCCAGGTCTTAATCATACTTTCTAGATTTTTTTTTTTTTTGTCTCTTACCTCCGAGACACTTGGTCTTTGGTTGGAACTCCTTTAACATTCCTGGCCTTGTGCTTACAATCAGATCAAATGTTTTAGATGGCTCATCGACTTGATTTGCTGAAGTAAAAGAAAGACGAAAACATATTAGTAAACCTTAATCATCCAGTACAATGACTTCGCAAAGTTTTTTAAAAGGATGCCTACTTAAAGAGTTTTAGGAGAAATACTGAAGCTTTAATGCTAGGTTAGTTGAGAAATATCTCCCAAAAAAGTGTTCAACATCTCGCCCTTGCGAAAAAAATATATCAGTACTTAATCCTTTGATTGCTTTATATTCATTTAGGGACTTACTAACCATTGCCCATGATTCCAAATTTGACGGTCATACAGCCTTGAACCCTGCTTTCCTCTTCTCTGATGTAAAACAGTCTCCAATCTGGTATTTTCAGCAACTCCGATATAGATTTTGTAAAAGTAACCCTAAGACAAAACCAAACAACATCATAAAGTTCGTCGCCTTTCTGAATGTTTTGTGGGTGTTGATCTAGGACATCGCTGCATTCGTTATCAATTACAATGAAACGGCAATCCTTTAGATTCGAGAACATTAATTCGTGAATTGCGAAACATAGGTTAACTTTGAATAGATCGTACATATATTTTAGCCAATCGCTCTGAATTTTTCACTTATTAAACCGGAATGCCTCTCTTTAATCTTGGCATTGGTATTGCGAGTTAAGTAAAAATTACCTTGAAAATGTCGTTCCTTCCACGTAATTCAGCGTTTTCTCCACATAAAAAGTATTAACTGGTTTGATGGTGGCACAAGCAAGACGACCAGATCCACTGTTCTCTGCATGAACTACAATTCCGCGGCCAACAACTAGAAAAGAAACATCAAATTCGTTTTTTAGACTTTTTCTTTTGTCGACACTGCAGTTTTGGCAATTTTAAAAGCAAAGTTATCTGGATCTTTACCTGACCATTCACCAAACAATGGAAGACTTGGATCCGTATAAAACTGCTTTCCAGAACCAATATTCAGCCTTTCATGCTTGCCTGATAGATCACCAACTTCACAACGCAACATGTTTCCAGAGGAACAAGCTGGCTTGTACGTTCCCTATAAACCCATTCATGAAGTATAGACCTCTTAGTAACAGTTTATGAATCACCGCTGAGGAAGAGTTGAGTCTTAGTTGAGTTGAGTCTTACTTTAGAAGTCTTAAGTCAAAAACTGAATAATCACCACCGGACAAAGATCATTTGTATTAAAGTTGTTCTGGATCAATGTAAATTTAGTCTACCTCTATTTTCAAATTCTTTCCATATTACCAGTCTGATCTATTTCAGAGTCAGTAATCTTTATATGTTACAGTGCTAGGGCTAGCATAGTTCTGTCCATATCAGCCATATTAGCACTCTAAAAACTGAAAATGTCACCATCCTATCTGTATCAAGCAGAAAATAATGGTGATTAAATGGGCATGTCAGGTCATTGGTTTGACTGTGTCATGATCAGCTGTAAGAGGCGATCAGATTCCTACGTGAATCGTTAAATCAAAGTTGTAGGTTTTAGAAGTTCTCCGTCTTGCGCATCGTTCACACCGCACCGGATTAATTTTCGGCGGTTTTCGCCCCATGTAAGGGAATCCGAAAAATTTTTGCAGTGGAATCCGGAATCTTGAAAATTTTTACTTGTGGAATCCGGAATCCAAGTTCCACTGAAAAAGATCTGGAATCCACGATCCAAGACTGTCTTGGTTTCCTATGTTCGTGCGTTTAGGTGTTCCGGTCTCACCGTACCACCTTAACCGTACGAAAATTAAAACGCCCACCTGTTCAAAAATTTGAATGCCAAAATAGAGGTCAAATCTGTAGCCGGCTTGGTCGAAAATTTGATGTCAGCATGGTATGAACAACATAACCATCCAAATTTTTCTACGGCAAAGGTGTGACTCTCGGAGCCATTTTAGATTTGTTAAAGCAGCGCTCTGTTAGAATTCAAACTGGTTCGGCACTACTTCGATGTGAACGGAACGAACGGTTCTGTGTGACGAGGTGTCCCCTCAAATTTTTCAGCCAGTTGAAAATTCGTCCAGTGCCGTGTGAACGCCCGCGCGCAGCCTTGCTGAATGACGATACTTACAGCTAAGTCTACGCCATTAGGGTTATAGTGTCCTCCGAGGCTCTTGCATCTCTTGCCCATCTCAGCGTATGTGTCGCCCCCCTCTGGATTTACGTGTACGTGCCACGAATGCTGTAAACTCTGGTGAAAAACACAAATCATTTAGTACCACACCAAGTCTGCAAGTCCATATCGTGGGACATTTGACCGTCTCAACCACTAACATAGATGAAAACTTTGATTTAAATCAAATGTTCTTGCCAAAAGTGGATAGCGCTCCACCAGATAAATCTTTACCTTCCCCCGGTTGTTGAAAAGTTGGATAGCGCTATCCAACGGATAAGTGTTAGGGAAACCAATTGCCCAATCCAGTCGATAGTGATTTATCCGGTGGATAGCGTTATTCACCTTTTGAAAAACTGAGGCCTGGTGGATAAAACGATTGGTTTACCTATAATACTTTACTTATGGATAGCGCTCTCTAGCGTTTGAACAACCGGGGCAAGGCGTTTGCTCAGCTGAGGAATGGGCTTTCTAAAAGTGACTGATCCATGAATTCTGCACTTAGTTTTATCTTTTCTTATTCCAGACTGAGGTTAATCAAACCCTCTTAATCCTAGCAAGAATAGTTGCGAGAGGCAATATTATAGCTTTGCAAGAAACAGCTAGATTTAGCATAGTTTTATATATTTTTATTACCTGTTTACTTGAATCATTTACATATTTTAGATCAGCATAAACTGATGTCTCCTCAGACGCCATTAGGCTGTTTTGCCACTTGTACTGAGTCTAAAAAAAGAGAAATTTGATAGAAATGTCAGCGGTGAATCAACGCAATTACTTTCTGCTTTATTGCCAACGGATGGCCATTAAGGTACATAGTAGGCAGATATTCCCATGAAAAATCCAACTTAGTTTGGTGGCGGACAAACCTTTTCTTTGTACAAGCTTTATCAATGAGAGCATTGTTTTTGAAGATTAGTAAGGATAATAGACCTTTCCCACATTACGCTCCAGTGAGCAAACACAAAGAAATGATCACTGTATTTTGTCCTCCCAAGGCTCGAGTTGGTGCCTTTGTTTACAGGAATGCGGGAAAGGTCTATTGAATGTTTGGAGGGTCTCTATTGTGATAAAGTAGAGCTTCAGTATTGCAAGTACTTTTCTGGTGCATATAGAAATCAATGCCCATAGTGTTATCTGGGGCACCCAACGAGGATATAGTTCAAAACCACTCAACATAGCATTGTTGAACGTATTTTAGTATTTAAACGGTAGATATAGGCATATTTTTATCCTCTAAAAACTTTTCATCTGTTCGGATTTCCTAGCTGAAAGTCTAGTGATACGAAAATTATAGGGGTCAAAACTTAACTTTTCGAAAATTTCAGCCAGGAAAAGGCTCCCGAAAATTCAAGGTGGCCTTTTTTAGGGTAAATATCCTTTTAAAATGGGTAATTATGTTCGAAAATCCTAGGAGAGGCAGGCAAGCAAGAAATTTTACAACAAATGTTCCGAAAATTCTAGTTCTCAAATCGTCTTCCGAACATATATGTTCCCGAAAATTGCAGTTGGGTGCCCCTGTGTTATGTATACAGCGCAACAAAATGCAACTTTTTAGTATAGTACTGATTATTTGGCTACCCGACTCACTATCCCCGCCTTCAGGTAAATACATTAAAACAAAAGTGACTCACCAGAAGAATGTATCCTTGTAAAGCTGGTCCAACAAAAGTTACTTTGGTCGTCATGACAAACAAGCCCTCTTCATGAGTCAGACCAATGACTGCACATACCCATCTCCCACTTCCCATTGTTTTCTGTTTGTGGATGACTATAGATCTTCCCTGGATGCTGTTTTTACCAAACAAGGGAAGGTTGTAGTCCACGTGTGTCTCGCTGTAGCTTGTTAGATTTAAAAATGATCCATATTTTCCGCTGAGGTCGCCAATTTCATACTGATCATTTGTCCCTGTACAGACATAGAGTACGTGGCTTAATAAAGAAATGAAATCGGGAGAAATCAAGTTTAATTGAAACAGAAAGGCACAGCCTAAGGTGACCTTTGCTTTGTGTTAAGAAAATGTAGTATAAAAATACTTTTATAAGCTAACATTCATCAGTCTTAAAAGCGGGGATACTAAAGTGCCAATGTATCATTTCGTTGGACTAGATCATTTCAGCCACCTACAAGCCGCACTGATACTCTCTGCAGAGTGTTTTCAGAAAAACAAAAATGAAACTAATGCCCTATGAAAAGTAGTGGTGCTTGATATGAGCTACTTAGTAACGAAGGTGGGTCTATACTATGAGACATCATACCAGTTCCGGCAGAAGGGCTGGCATTGACATCCACGCCAAAAGGGTTCCAGTGTCCCCCAAGGAAGCCACCTGCACACGATTGACTTCCAGTGTAAGTCATCTGCCACGGCATGGGATAGTTGTGTACGTGATATCCTTCAGCCTTTTTGTTTAGTCCGGTCAACTGTATTTCCGTCGTTGTGGGGTCAAAAGGAGATAGCTGGGTAAATTTGAAATATCCATCTACACCGTCATGAACGTTCGATTTGAAAGCAGTTTTGAAAACTCTTGGTTTAACTTGCTTTATCGTTGTACAGGCAAAAGGCGTCTGCGAATCGTTTCTTGAGAATAAAGCAATTGTCTTACCAACGACGCTGTTGGCTCCTGTAAGAGGAAGGTTCGTATCAATGAAGGCCGCTTTTGTTGCGGATTGACTATTTGTGGCCATGGAGACAGTGATGTTCCCGTGCTTTGAAGTCAAGTCGCCAATCCGGCATTTGTCGTGCTCAAGACGCGAACAGCTATGTCCGTTATTGTTTTCAGGGCTGAAAAGGTCTCCTGACGTACCACAACTGGAAGATGCTTGGTTTATCTGCCAAGAAAACTGACTTTGGGATTGGGCGTCGTTAGAATAGAACAAGTTAACAAAAATAGTTGTGTCTGCGTGATCTTTGACTTGTCTCAGATAAACAAAACCAGCAACGGGCATGGAGAAAACAGCTACTGCGGTTATCATGGGATGAGCTGGTGTAATTAATGCACAGGCTTTTGGTATGCCACCCTTGTAAAGAACTAAGGTCCTACCCATGATGCTGTTAGGCCCACTGATTGGAATTGTCAGGTTCTGGAATGTGAAGTTTTGCTGTGCACTGTTGGCATCCAGAGCTCCCAGCATTCTCGTTAAATCACCAACAGCACAGTCGTGGAATCTTGAAGCATTTGACAGACGGCAAGAATTGCTGTAGTTTTCAGATTTCATTGCCATCGTCGGGTCGAAAATTGCCCCAATTGCGCTTGAGTTGCAACTCATATCCGCATTTCCATCGTAGATCATTGGCAGCTGTCGAATGTCCCACGTCAGAGTTTCGTTGACGCCTGTTATGTCAACCATGATGCTCGTAGAGCTCCTATTTTGTCGCTGAGAAAATATGACGTCGCCTTTTATTCCACCCATGCTAAAAACGGCACGCAGTTGATGACTAGAGGCCGATGAACACCACACGAAACATCCTGTAGAGAAAAGAAGAGAAACAGGTATAAAAACTCATAAAATCATCATGAAAAATCAGTAACGTCAGTTATAATTACGGTTATTATTCAGTTTTTTTCCCATACGATTTGATTGGTCTCTAGATCAAATACGCCACTTACACAGGGGCACCCAACGACAATTTTCGGGAAAATATCTGTTCGGAAGACGATTTGAGATCTAGAATTTTCGGGACATTTGTTGTAAAATTTCTTGCTTGCCTGCCTCTCCTAGGATTTTCGAACATCCAAAAAATGGTAAAATTGCCCATTTTCAACGGATTTTTACCCTAAAAAGGTCACCTAGAATTTTCGAGAGCCTTTTTTCTGGCTGAAATTTTCGAACGGGTAAGTTTTGATCCCTATAATTTTCGGATCCCTATACTTTCAGCTAGGAAATCCGAATAGATGAAAAATTTATAGGGGATAAAAATATGCCCATATCCACCGTTTAAATACTAAAACACGTTTAACAATGCTGTGTTTAAGTGGTTTTGAACTATATTCTCGTTGGGTGCCCCTGACTTACAGGCCTGCAGAAGGACAAGGGTCTGTCCATGCACAGTGTGGATAAAAAGATGCTCCCTACGTAGTGTGCTTTCTGTCTTCGGGTAAAAAAGTGGTTCTCGATGTTTATTAATTTAACAGATAGTAATCTGAATTGTCTACTTGAGCAAAAAAGTACAATGATAAACACAAAAATAATAGCCAAACATGTTTTGAATTTATATATACCATATTTAGAAGAGAAAAAGTGAAAAAAGAGGGTCTTATTAATCATGAAACATTTACTGGCGAGCTGTACACTCCAGACTAAACTGGTTGCAAATCAAACACTTTGAACTGAACTTGTGAATATAGTGTTTTGTCAGTATCTCATTTACCTCTGCCTTCGGCATCGGCAACTGATTGATCTGCTCGCTACTGACACGATATTGTGCACAACCACACCCGTCGATAAAATTCTTTGTACTCTTTCTGTTCAATGTCAAGTGTAAAATTGGAAACTTAAAATAGCCAAAGCTGTTCTGCACTGAGTTAGAGATTAAGACTATTTATGACTACAATTGTAGATCTATTTAAAAACTAAAAATGAGTATGAAAGAGTATATTGATGTCGACTAATTGCATGGTGCGCCCGTATCGGCCGTCAATGCTTAATTTCATATTTATCCTGCTGGTTCCCTGGCATGAAGGCGCTTTTAATTTATTCGGTTACCCTTTTATCGATGTAGGGTGTTATTTCTGTTGTTGTTGTTTGTTTCTTGTCGTGTGGTCTTCTTATATAGTTCTTATAAATTCTAAACCGCGGCTGCGCCAAACTGACACGTTGATATGAACGCATCGACATTTTTTCCTCTTCCCAAGGCGTAACAAATAGACCACGACAAACTAGGAGGTTGACGTTTTTATCGGGAGAATCAATTTTCCTCGATGTGCGGACTATTTGACTCTTACAAAAAGAGAGTAAATTGTGTGATTGGTTTAGTAGAAACCAACTGGCGAACTGGATATTACTGTTTTAGGTGAAATCTGTGCTGGAGTCATGAAGTGAATGCCTTCATTATCCATACACAAAAATGTTCTGTTATACGTGTAGATAAGAAGAGAATCGAACAAATTTCATCGGGGAGCACTACAATACTGCCTACCCTTTTTAGCCGAAATTAAATATTATTTTATTCAGTATTTTGTGACCGCTGAAGTTTGTTCCGGATGATCGATTCATCTACTTCTGATCAGAAACATCACAAAAACGATTTGCTGTAAGTCTTGAATAAGAATGAACATGAGAGATACCTTTTTTTTCCTTTTTACTGACTAACTGAAGGATACCCTTCGTAAGGCATGGTTTATTTAGATGCCAATTGACTTGCTTTGGGATGCATTTTTACGTTACAGTCGTATTCAAGCGCTGGATGAGATTAGAACTAGACGCATTTTAAGAGAAAAGGCGGACTGCAAGCAGTCTAAGTCCTCAGTGATTATTGCATCTTTCACCGTAATAAATGCTTTGTACGGTGTTCTGCCTGTTACCATAATGTAACGGAGAATGTAACGGAAATTCATCAGCTTTAACCGTCGAAGTAACTGGTATAAATGTTTTCCCGTTTTCCATCTCAGTTAATTTTATTGGCCTTGTGGCAAACGGGTTATCTGCACAGATTCGTCATTTTGGTCGAAGTCCACACGCTAAAGGTTGCGCCGTGCGATCATGACAATACAACGAACACCCGTTTTAAACCTACACTATACCATTTCCTTGATCTGTTTATAGTACACGTTCATAATTTTTTTTTTCTCTGTTAATAGCCAAATCATAAAACGAGACAGACAGGCTAGTTTTATTTGCTACACTTTTTTCAAGGCACAGAAGTAAATTACTATAACTTTTGTCGACCGAAAAAAACCAACTATTAAGTAAACTAGCTTAAACTAAACTTTCAAGTGTAAGAAAAGGTTCACAAAGAGTTACTCTAAAAAATGGGAATAAAGGCTCTGTAAAATTTAAGTATATTATTTATAGACACTCAGTGTGAGTTAACGAACATTGCTGTCCGCCTTTTCAGCGTGTACATGTTGTTCATTCCAATACGGCAGTTACAGTTATGAAACAAAATTTTGTATCTATTGACCAGCGTCATGCATCTGTTAAACTGGAAAAGTATTTTCATCAAGGCGAAAAGTAGTTGAAAGTGCCGTCATTTATATAGTGCAACTACTGAGTTAATCAGAAGACCTGTGTATATTTATGAACCTTACACCTACCTGAATAAACAAGAGCTATGGAATACATCCCAAACAGAGCAGGTGGAAACATGATGTGCAGTCTAAAGATTATTCAGCAAGTTGACTTCTTGACGTTACGTGAGACTGAAACTAACTGATCGATTCGAGGACACTAACAGGTTTATATCTTACCCAAGGTAAAACTCATTTCATGGACGATTACCGATCTTCTTAGCGTATAACAAAAGGACACCCATGCCTTCTTATCATGTCACATTTGCGTTAAAAGCCAGGGATGTGGTTCACTAATCACATAGCGTTTCGCAATGAAGTGACGTTAATTATGAGGCACGAAAAAGCGGAACATGTCCATCCCTGATATCGAGCTAAAGTTGCAACAAAGGCCGCCATGTTTTATGTACCATTTGTTGCTTTCATATTCGATTAACCTTCTTGCAAACTCTCAACATCCCGACGATCATAGCCCCGCTCTTTACCCTTCTACCCAATAGGCTCTTCAAAAAGGCTAAGGCTAAAATTAAATAAGAGAGCGCACTCTCCCTTGTCATCACAGTGGTGAACTTTGACAATAAAAACAAAACAGAGAGACAACAACATAACAATAATTTGAAAAACAATGATAGTTTCAATTAGCAAGACAAAAACTTTTCACGTGCTTCGCACTCGGAAAGAAAGAAAAAAGGGAGCATCTAACACGTAGTTATATTAACATACAGGAAGAAAATATCTCATTAAATAACGGAGATTTAACAGAGCAGAAGCCTTTTGTTATGGTGTCGGTGAACCAATATCATGGTGGAAAACAAAAAAGTCACGTTTGCCGTAAATCATGGTATCAAAAAAAAAAAAAACAACTTGCTTTAAATGAGTTTTTTTAAACAATCGAGTGACCCACAACATGGAAAACAATACTGAGTGATATATTGTTGTCTGACACTGCTGCAATAGTTAAAACACTGAAAATTTCAAGTTTATACTCTGGCAAAAGTACGAGGGGGTGTTCCTGTTATTAGTTACTGATAACCTGAAGATCAAGAAATCACGTATATTTATTTGATCAAACGTGTTTGGCACAATATACCAATCCATACCAATCCTACTTTTCTTATGGGATGTTGAGTGTTTTTGCAACCTTGAGTTTGTAATTATAAAAGTAGCATCAAATTAACATGAAAATCACAAACAAAGGTTCGATTTTAGTCACTGTATCTATACAGCATATAGTTCCCAATCATCTCAACCGAAAGATAATTGAAAAACTGCGGTCTCGCCACCAAAGTATTGTCAAAGCATATGACTGAAGGTCACGATATTTATTAGGAACAGTTTTGTCAAGAAGGCCTCTTCAAATTTTTTGGCCTGTAAAATTAACAAAAAGATTTAAAACGTTCACCGGAAGAAAATCGTTCATGTACGAAGATTGCATGTACGTACTTATTTTCGCATCTTATCTTTTCAGGTGACGATTGGAGACGAACATGTTGCGGAATGATCGGTAGACCGCAACTACTAATATTGACATAAACTGGTGAACTCTGTACTTAGTTGTTACTAGACCTCTTACGTCAAAAGAAAACGGGTCAATGAGAGATTATGAATAGGAAGAAATGAGAAATTGAGAGAACACTTGTAAAGTAGCTGTATAAAATGTATTTATTTAGTTTCGAGTTTTGCCATCTGATCATTAGCGTGATCTTGGGGGAGCCAAGAGGCACACTATTGCTCAATTTCAAGTCATTAGTTCTATAAATCTGCTCTAATACCTTATGAACCCTCCAAAACGCTAAGCCACACTTGCTTGCTCTCGCGGGCTACATGCCCATTGCGGGGTGTTTTCGTTTTTCTTGTAAATAAGACTTTTAATTATTTAAAAGTGAGTTCGTGAAGGAATCTGTCAAAAGGAAAGAGTCTTTCAAGAGGTCATTTAAGTGGCAAACCGTAATAAAAGAATACTTCACGTTTATTAGAAGCCAATAGTTGATGAGGAGAGGGTCTTTGGTCAAGTAAAAAACTGAGTGATTAAATACGTCAAAACTAAATCATAACAAGTGTCTGGGCGGGCTTTGGTGGAGTGACGTTTATTAGTGCAGTGTTGCAACTGGCGGTTAATTCGTTGTGATTAGTGCTGTTGCCACGCATTTATTGCTCCTCGACCGTCAATGTGCGTAATGACCCGTAATGAGCTACAGTAAGAGAGTCTCTCGGCCACAGTTATTGATTTTCCTTTTTAGCCATTCGAAGGGAGTG